GCCACTTTGAGGAGCCATACCTTCGTTAGTTTTCAACAAATCACTTTCAGTCGAACTTGGCAATTTCATTAACTCAGAGGCGCTCTTTCTAACGCGGGGGTTGATGAATTTTCCCTAACTAAAAAAAAAATGTGTAAGGGTCTATTGCCTTCAGAGTACGTTTAAACAGTTAGTTAAGTTTCTTGTTTTGTTTTCAGAAAAAAACCTACGAAGATGATTTCATCATCCTAGGCACACGCTACACTTCTACTCGTTCTCGTCTTGGGCATACGTCTGGCAAGTCACACGCATGCCTTTTTGAAGGTCGGAAAGCGTAGGCTTGAACTGTTAAAAGAGCTGAGGGAACTGTTTCAGGACAAGAACGATCCAGACCTAAGAAATAACTGGGAGAAGAGTTGGCCGAAACAAAAGTTGAAGCCTAAGATTGAACGAATTCCCGAACTTATTAGAGACGAAACTCCGGACAAATAGGTAATCAACCCTTTTTTTCCAAAACGTGTTTTCTCTGCTCAAAGATCCGTTTGCCAGTGCTGCTTAGCCCGCACTACAGACGACCTTTGAATCAGGATTAGAGTACCCGCCACGATTGGCCTCTTAAAAAAGCCATTGTCGATTTGCTAATCAGGATGAAAGGAAATTCGAAACGCACTTCCCTCTGCCTCGTGTTTTGATTTTAGCTCCAACTTTCGCGGCCTACAACGGCTCGCACAGGACACCCAACGGGGAGTAAGTGCAAAAATACAAGGTCTTTTTGACTTGATACTGGGTATCCCTAGATCCAAGACAATGCAAAACTAAGAAAATTTCTCCGCAAGACTGTTGAGTTTTTTTTTTTTCAGTAATCCTCTGGAAGGAAACAGGGGATGTAGACGAATTCATGCATTTTAATCGAAATTCACGGGGAAAAGTTCAATTAAAAACTTACCAGAGTAACTGCGGATCTCACCAGATGGATTTACTTGTTTTAGAATCCAAGAAAACCTTTTCACCCATTATAATGACATATAACGTACAACGCCTTTATAATGGACAAACTCATTCCCAGGGTTCTCTCCGACTCGACCCTTGGGGGAGAGAGCGGACGAGTAGCAGAGAACCATGGGAACGAAGCTGTGCCATTTTCTAATCTCTTGATGGTTCTTTTTTTTTTCAGTTTCACACAACATCTACAGTTTCCAAGAAGCTTGACGTTTCTGTTCATCAACTTGTAATCAATTCGTATCAGACTAAAACCAAGTGATCCCTTGAGTACAACTTAGAAAGAGACTGAGCACCAATTTTCCTTTAACCTGAGAACAGACAGGAAAATTCTCCTCTCCGCTCAACTCTTCTCATTCGCGACAGTTTTCGTTACAACCAACCCAGGAATAAGCTCTTTAAACTTCCGTTCATTTCAATAGCCAATCAGATTATGCGTTTTGTTCTAACAGCTAAGAAGCTGCTACGGCCAAAATATGACCGTACATCCGCCTTAAACATTACTTTAACAATCGTCTTAAAAGTTTCAAAATAACGTTATGTTTTCATTTTATTTTCTGTTTACAGTACAGTCCTTTTTAACCCGGCATAGTAAATCGAACCCAATCGAACTAAATTTCAATTGAACTCAATCGAACTCAATCGGTGGATTGAGTTCGATTGAGTTCGGCAATCGAACGAAATCGAACTCACCGAAAAGAAAAAAAATCAATCGAACCCAATCGAACGTTTGATTTTCGAACTCGTGATTTATGTAAAACAGACGTTGAAAATCCATTACCAGATCTTAGGGCCTCTTCACATGAGCCCGGTTGACCGGGCTGGCTTGGTTACCGGGATGAATTTTGCCTTGGGTTCATATGAGAAATTTTAGCCCGGTTTCCGAGATGAGAAAAGGTCAAAGATCCTGGGTACGAGTTCTGGCGCCAAATTTGGGAAACAAAGCAAACATAGCGAAACACAAAAATTTTAACTTTCGGGCCTATCTTAGCATCGGTAACTTTTAAAGCTGTATCACTGCAGTTAAATGGGATGCTTATGATGTGGAAAACACAGCAGACAATGCAAGACGATGCCATCCGGACCGCCAGAATTCATTCCGCCGTTCATCCCGGTAACCGGGATGAAGTGTTCATATGGCAAAATTTCCAGCCCGCTTACCGAGATCTCGGTTGGAAAAACCGAGATCTCGGGAACCGAGCCAGCCCGCCCTCTCATATGAACACATCGAAAATTTTACAAAGGATTTAGAGGTGAGGCGAGATCTCGGAAACCGGGCCAGCCCGGTCAACCGGGCTCATATGAAGAGGCCCTTAGAAGCTCGAGTTACTTCAGCCCTGAGCCCACACGTGTTTTTCGTAAACGGAGAAATTCCGCAGAAATGGCTTCAGATGCGTTGTGGATCGTAAGCTTCAAATGTATAGTCAAAGGCTACCAGGAATGCCGCTTTGACGTCAAGGATGGCGAAGTTTTCAGGGTTTGTTCTGTTCTGTTCTCTTAACTGCCGTGGACAGTTTATAAATGGGGTTTGTGTTATTGAATAAATAGTAAAAAAAGCGCAAGAAAAACTTGCTTTGACGGGCTTGCTTTGGGCTTGCTTTGTATAGGTTCACCAGAGCCAATCGAACGAAATCCATTTTATTGTGTTCGATTGAGTTCGGTTTCCGAACTCAATCGAACACAATCAGACGGATTGAGTTCGATTGAGTTCGATTTGTTCGGAAATCGAACTCACTGAAAGTGTGGTGTTCGATTTCGATCGATTGCCGAACTCAATCGAACTCAATCCACGCTTTGAGTTCGATTGAGTTCGATTTTCGAACGTTCGATTTACTATGCCGGGTATTTAATCAGCGTTTGGCTTAAATTGTTATCAGCCTTTCAACCTGAAAATTTGTAACGGAGCTAAGTTCAATAAATATAATACTCTTTAGTTATTGTTTCTTCTCAATGTACGGCGTGAAAATGTTTTTGTCCGAACAAATTGACGCAACAGAAATCAACTTTTTGCAAGAGCCTATTTAGGTATTTTCAGTCACGGCAACTCATAAGGGGCCGACCATTTGACTTTTGAAGGGAGGCGGGGGGGAGGGGTATGGCTGATTTGGTTTGGGTAAGAATTTTTTTTTTTTTTCCAAACCTCTGGTGATAGAATTACATACAACGCCATTGTATGGCAGGTATTTCCTTGCAAGATATTTTTTCCCTCGAAATCAGTCTGCAGGATATTTTTTTCTGAAATCACCCATAACCCCCTCAAAAGTCAAGGGTCGGCCCCCTAGGTACGTAGCATATGAAACGGCTGTGTATTTTACCTTTCGGGTTTCAAGCGCGATCTTTGAGGGAATCGCACGCGAATCTCACGTGCTTTGGTATAAGAGAACTGCTCTCCTGGCTCGCACGCTATAACTCTGCCGTTGCGTAGTTGCTTTGTAAACAAATAAACACAGTGTTCTCTTCCGTTTTAGACCTGATAAATACTTTCGCTGACCTTTAGAAACACGATCAGTAAGAGCGGTATCAAATTGAACTAAAACCGAAAAGCGGTGATTGATTATAAACTTTTTATATCAATTGCTGGTTAAACATTTTTAAAAGATGACCGTTACAGTTTATGGCAAAAATTTTGATACAAAATGATTCTGGAACTCAACATTGGGTATATGTATATAAAGCAACAACTAATCTAAAATAAAGCATAAGCTTTTCACTGCTGATGTTTGAAAAAGCTGGCTTGAGCTCATAAAACGTAAACGACAATCCAGTTTCGAGCTCGAGGTGGCTTGCGAACTTGCGGGGAGAGACGTCTATAGTCGCCGGCCGTGACCTCTTCCTCTCCTGCTGAAACGTCCATTGCGGCGAAGAGCGAGGAGAAACCGTTTGCATGCTAGTTCAGAGGGTCCCCCACTGGGTTTTTTCAACCCCGTGACGTCCATAATAATTTTCTTTCGATTATCTGTTGACGACTTTCTACGTTTTATGTTTGCGCTGGGGAAACCAACTTCTAGGATGCTAAAAGTGGATTCTTTGCATTACACCGGGGACGGGGGGGAGGGGGTACTCCTGGGAATTCTTGGTGGGGGTGTGCCACCCGGTTCTCCAAATCCTGACCATATTTCAGACCAAATACTCCCGTTTTCAGACCTGGTCTTAACCTGCTATTTTTTTTTCTCCGCCAAATTAAAAAAAAAAAAAAAATCGCCTGATCGCAGGTTAACCTGGTCTCTACTGAGACTAGAGAAGCAACATAAAAGATTTCTTAAATTCCACTTCGAATTCGTATACACTCCCGTAGTTCCCACCAAAACCATACTCGATTCCAGACCAATTGGGCAAAGTCTATACCAATTTTCAGACCAAAACGGAGCAAAAACCGTATCCAACAGGGCGGCGCATACCTATTATGGCTTGTACAAGGGAATAACCCCCCCGGGACATAACACTCCTTTGGTTGGAACTAGGTGGAAGGACCTATAAAAAATTTCACCCTTATCTGCTAAGCTTTGAAATTGACGCCCGGAATGCGCATTTACAATCTTTGCAGTCCAATGATTTATTGATTAATGACTCTTCCCGACAAGTCTTCGTAATAATTAATTGCCATCGACAAAATTATTTATGAATCTTTACGTGATATTTTAGTTCGCGTGAGTTTTCATTACCGTAATCATGCTTCCGTGATGAAGGCAATCTAGTGTCAACTTCAAAAAAACACGAGTCATGTATTTTTCGAAAGACCTTGTACTCCATACACGGTACCGGAAATATTTTTGTTACCAAATAAAGAAAAAAAAAACAAAAGAAAAACAAAAAATTGCTATCCCTCTCCAGTTCTCCAGTAAAATTACTGTGTCCCGTGAAATTACCTAAATGACTGACAAGCAAGAGCAAGATTGACGTGACACGAGGAACTTTATTTATGACGCCGATGTGTCTCTCAGAGTTCTTTAATCAGCTTTGTAGGTTTGCTGTGAGCTTCTCGCTTCGAACGCATCAAAGAAAGACCAGACGCCACTTTTAAGATGGATGTGGATGAAAATGCGGCCGAAAAGTTTCGTTGGATTCGACTAAACTGGACTTTTGGAAGGTTTTCATTCAATCTACGGTTTAATCCAGTCGTTACGTTCGTCTCAGCTGCGATCATATGGTCCTTCGTGATCTGGTGTTCGGTGGACGCCGATGTTGCGTCAAAGGAATTGACTAGTTGGATGAAATGGATAACGTACACGTGTACATGGATGTACATCGGGACGCAGGACGTCTGGGCCATCTTCATCGTCGTCCTTTACTTTTCCAAATACGGCAAAATGAAACTGGGAAAACCGGACGACAAACCGGATTTTAGCGACGCAACATACTTCACCATGCTTTTTGCGGCTGGGATTGGAGTTGGGTTGTTCTATTTTGGCGTTGGTGAGTGTTTTAATTAAAGTGAGATCCTTCGTTTTTTGGAACATTTTCTCCTAAACTGCCTAACGTATTTTAATGAGTTTTCTTCAGAGGAAGGTATTTGTTCTTAAATCGCAACGCAGTTGTGACTAACATTCAAAAAATATTCGGCATAAGTGAAATGTATTCTATTAGTCCCTTCCAGTTTTTACTGTTCCAATTTCAAGTCGTTTTCTCCTAAGCAAATTTACATGTAAAAAATCGAGCCTGCACGCCGACGGCCATTTCGTAACCACGGGCACTGTCTGCAACCACCAATGCTGCGCCGAAAAATTAACAGCTGAATTAATACGACACATTTCTTAGTTTACTGTTTCAAAAGTTTACACTGTTTGAAAAGCCTTCCAAGTTTTGCTTCACCTTTAACCCTGAAACGTGCTTAACAGACTGAATACAAAATTCTTTGGTTACCAAACCAGTAAAATGAGATTTAGCCTATCTAGGCGAGGTATTTCATCCTTTTTTAGTCTGGTAACTTTTCTAAGTAGCGAAAGCCAAATTATCGGTATCGTTCATGAGCCGTTTTGGTTTGACGCCGGTTTTCCGAGGACGCAAACAAACAAGCAAACAACAACAACAAGAAAAACAAGGAAAACTGGGTTAAGAAGGCTAAGGACTGCCTTGTTCAGGCACATTTATTTATTTATTTATTTATTTATTTATTTATCCGTCTATCACAACCTATGGTCAAAGGCCAAAGGATAATCTGTAAGAGAGTCCTAAGGGGCCGACCATTTAACTCTTGAGGGGGGGGTGGGTGATTTTGAAAAAAAATTTCCTGCAAGCGCTTGTCGGAAGAAAAAAATTGCATGCAGCACAAATGTAATAAAGAGCTTAAGGGAAAAAAAGGGAAAAAAAATATCCTGCCCACCATATTGCTAGAAAAAAAAATTCTTGATGACCAGAAATCACCCACCCCCACCCTCAAGAGTTAAATGGTCGGCCCCTAAACCCCATAAAAAAACAGATCGCCTATGACCTAATGCAGATACTTAATAAAAAAAACAAAAGCAAAAACATATTAAAAGTCACTAAGGAATTTCTTAACCCTAGACTTTAAAAAAGCTACATTATCAGAGCAACGAATATCTAAAGGTAGTTGATTCCACATTTCAAGGTGATAGTAGCCGGGAGTACGCCTAGGCATAAGTCTAGATTTACCACTGAATTATAACGGCATTATTATGGGCCCTGAGTACGGTCATTATGTGCGTACTTTCTTGCAAGTGTTATTGCTTGTATTATAAGTTGAGTGAAAAGGAGTACAGTGAAACGTCTATTAAGCGGACCCCAAATTAAGCGGACATCCTCTATTAAGCGGACACTAAGCCTGGTCCCGAAAGGACCGTCTGATATTTCCCTTTATAACGAACCCCTATTCAGCGGACACCTCTATTAAGCGGACGCGGACACTAAAATAAGTTGTATTTCGCTAATTTCTGTTGTTAAACACCTCTAACATCGGACTGAATTGACAATAGTAGTATTGGATTACGTCCTTGAAATACGTGCTGAAGTCGGTTAATGTTTTTGCATTTACAAACAAATTAAAGTTAGTAATGAAAGGAACTGAATTTGAACTCTGGTTAGCTTCTTTAACAACATGTAACTTATCACAGCACAGAGTAACCGTAGAATGTTGATCGTTAATAGACATTGCGCAACTTTCTCCAACCTCTATTAAGCGGACACCCTCTATTAAGTGGACACTTGGGAAGGCCCCGAAGGTGTCCGCTTAATAGAGGTTTCTCTGTATTGTACTTTGACACTTGTCAAACGTTTTCCTCACATCCATATTTTAAGCGATATCAACACGACACCGACATCAGCTGTCTATGGCTACAATTTCGCACTGTTTTGAGTTCAGTCGGTGTCGTGTTGATGTCTTGCAAAGTTAATTTTCACGTAGTACGATCAGCATTGCAGTATTCTGCTTGCAGAATTTAATATGTCAACCCGTTCAATGTTTTTAAAAACAAACATGTGTACCGAATATAAACGGGCCCATTCCCCCCTTACCCATAAGCTTCAATGTCAAGAATACAGTCAGTTTAACCGCATCTACCGAAAACGAAAAAATGTGTGTTATTTTTGTGGCCGGAAATAGAAAGGCTTATAACCTTTTTTTAATTATTTTTTTCCTTAGGCGAGTAAAAAAACTCACTCCAGTAAAATTACTGTCAGAACAAAACGGAAAGGTGTTGCCGCGTCGAGAAATTTTTTATTAGTTTTGGACTTCGACGTCAAGCCTCCTTCAGGCTCTCAGATAGTACAGTGTAGGCATGACGCCGGAGAGTAAAAGACATCCGAAAATATGAGCGCGTGATCAAAGAAAAGGGAGCGGTGGTTCCGTTTTATTTTCGTGTTCGCGCTTTCTCAATTTCGCGGACCCGACCATCTCGGAGCCCGTGACAGGCTACCTTATCTCGTTAGATAGACTTGCATTTTTTCACCATTTTTTAAAGGTGTTATTGAATGTTGATTAAAATGCAAAAATCGCAATTGAGTCTGATTTATGCGCAAATTTTCGCGCTAATGAATGTATCTTCGCACTATTGGTCGCCGTTTCACGTAAATGATGGCGTATTTTGTCGTAATGAACAGCAAAAGGTGTATTAATTTACGTGTTGAAATCATGAATAGTAACGACAAGGAAAGGGGAAACTTGGTCACGCGTTATAAATTCGCGTTTGCCGTTAGACGTAAACGTGATGCTTAGCCTCTATTCAAAAGTGAAAGCACACTGTGGCAAAAGTGACCACAATGTTCTTGCAGTAACCTCCGCTGCCACATACAGCTTTTATACCACATTTTCCAGCCGACGAGAAGGGGGGGCTTTCATTCTAGTTAAACACTGCGATCGCATTGTTTAATGGCCAATTTGTAGATGGTGTTAGAGAGGGAAGACGCCTATTGTTTGTTTTATCGTTGTTAATGGTCATGTTCGAAGGACCGTTTCTTTCGGAGTGCAACAGGACGGTACAAATTTAACGTCACTTTCAGAAAAATACTATCATAGTAATCATACTATCAAAAAAATTGATCACGTGATCAAATCATTTCGCTATGGATCAATACCGCCCCCACTAAATCAACAACTGGTTCGTTCTTTTTTTCTTGGGTTCTAAGTCAGGGTTTTCGCTACGAGTTGGTACGACAAATTTATGGTATTTTTATTGTCTTTTCACAGCTGAACCTGTCGTACACTATGCTTCTACACGTTACTACGACGCCGGAAACCGCTACTATGGAAGGTAATCACAAATTCCCCTTCCACACACATACCCAAAAGGTTTTTCAACTGTAAAAAAATTTCAACACATTTGGTTTTGAACCAAGATTTACATGTTTCGACCTTAACACGCAGAAGTATTTTTCAACTGAAGTGGAATAAACAAATCATATGCTATTAAACAGAAGCAGGAGCCCATACATGGCTCTTGATTTCAGAAACTTTGACAAACGACTTATAGTAATCCTAGAGGAGGAAAAGAGGATAAAAGAAGCATACAAAAGGTGGAGACAATTTTAATTAAGTGGGTCGATTTTCAGTGAGAATTACAGATTGATCAATTAACTTAAAAGCAATTTCACATGGTGAAAATTTATGCATTTATTGTTTCCGGGTGCAAAACCTTTTTGGGGCTTGGGACCTCTTTTAAACCCCAACAGTCCAAATAAGTAAACACACACAAATAAGAACCAAGGGATTAAGAACCACGTGGGAGAAATTTGCCACTTTCATACCCAAAAATACAAGAACCTGTTTAGCCAAGGAAAATAAAGCAGGTTCATATATGTTGGGAACATACTGTACTAAACTGTATACAAATTCGGTTATCAGTTTTGGTAGGGTTATAATAATACAATTGTGAATAAATAAAAGGTTTATTTATTTTCCTGGTAATCAACAATTTTTTATCTCCTGGTTAAAAATTAAGAACCTAATTAAGAGCCCATTTGAGAACCTACTCAGCCTAAATTGACAATAAGTGAACTACCCCAAATTACAAGAACCTATTTTGCCAGAAAAGTAGGTTCTTATTAGCGAGTGTTTACTGTACTATCTCTTCAATCTGATCTCCAGAAATTTTCTTATGTAAAGAAACATTTTTCAATTCTCATACCTGTTCCGTTTATTGCGTTCGAGGTACGAGAACGCAACCCCTAATTTGTGCTGGGTGTTCTGTGCATTATTGGGAATCCTGTGCAATTAATGAGGGAGGCTTTTTCGTCGTCGTCGACACACATTTGCCTCGCTTTGAGGCGCTTGCTTACGTTTTGCCTCACTTTGACGCGCTAACTTCGATTACTCCTAGTTATGTGTGTAAGTTGTTAAGAGAAAATTATGCATATGTTGGTCACTTTTAAAGACTGAAAACGTTTCCTTTCTACAGACACAACGACAATCAACGAGCTCAGGATGCTATCAATTTAACTCTATTCCATTGGGGTATCCATGCCTGGATCGTGTATGTGGTGGTTGGTCTTCTTCTCGCGTTTGTGGGTTACAGGAAAGGCCTTCCTATGACCATCCGCTCGTGTTTCTACCCGCTTGTGGGCGAAAAGATCTTCGGATGGATGGGTGACGCCATAGACATCCTCTCTGTGTGCTGCACTATGTTTGGTGTTTGCACCAGTCTAGGAGTAGGTGTCATGCAGATGAACACAGGTTTTGAGCGCATCTTTAAGAAATTCGAATACTCAGTCAAAAACCAAATCATCCTTATTTGGTGCGTGACTGCATGTGCCACGGCGTCCGTTGTCAGCGGACTGAAAGTTGGAATCCGGAGATTGAGCGAGATTTGCTTCAGTCTCGGCGTGTTCCTCATGTTGATCGGGCTCTTTTACGAAGATACCTGGCATGTCTTTAACGTGTATGTACAAAGCATAGGTTATTACATTCAGTGGATCATCCAACTTGGCTTCCACACAGACGCCTTTGCACAACTTGGAAATGCACCTGACGGCAAGCAGGCCAAAACGTGGATGAACGACTGGACCATCTTTTACTGGGGCTGGTGGATTGCCTGGTCGCCCTTTGTGGGCATGTTCATCGCAAAAATCTCAAAAGGGCGAACCATAAGAGAGTTTATCAATTGCACTTTGACAGCTCCAATAATATACGCGTTCTTGTGGTTCTGCATTTTCGGTAGCGCAGGGTTGAAGATGGAACGAGATGCTGAGAAGGCCAATATCACGTGCTCCTCTACACTAGGAGGTTCTGACAGCGCAGAGGCCGCGAATGGATTGTTTAGGCTCTCTTGTAGAAAAACAAACGACATGTGGTTTGACGTCGTGGGCCAATATGGTGACCTGGGGACATTTCTCTCAGTCTTATCGCTGGTTAGTATCATCCTGTACTTTGTCACCAGCTCTGACAGCGGTTCCCTAGTGATCGACTGCCTATCTGCAAACGGTGATCCGGAGCCACCCACTATCCAGCGTATTTTCTGGGCGTTAACAGAAGGCGCCTGTGCCACATCCCTGCTCTATGCCGGAGGTAAGAACGGCTTAACTGCCCTTCAGTCCATGTCCATAGCATCGGGCGTGCCTTACACCATTTTACTCTGCCTAATGTGCGTTTCATTATGGAGGGCGGTAAAGATGGAAGAAGGTGATCTTGATCAATACGGTCCACAGTTTACCACTGGCTTGTTAGACGTATTAAGCAACCCGACGTTGCCTAGCATTCGAAAGGTCCTTATTGCCGTCGTCGCACCGTGGTATCCAATGGGGAAAGCTGCCTTCAAGATTGGTGGATCAAAGGGCCATCAGAGCGTCTACATGCTAGCCCTTGCGGCGCCGTTTTATCTCTGGATTGTCCTGATGTTCCTTGAGCATGTCGTTGACGGAATATGGACAGTGGCATGGACAGTGCTGTTTGCATTCTTTGCCTACGGCACAGCAATCCGTAATGCCATACGTGAGAAATACAACATCAATGGCAACATGGTTGAAGATTTCTTTGCAGTAATGCTTACCTACCCATTTGCAGCGTATCAAATGGAGCATCATGTCGATCACATCCATGGTCTCGACTTAGGTGAGCCGTCTCTGACAAATGGCGTGGCCCACAAGTCCATTTGCATGTCTGAAGTGCATATCAACCCTCTCGTTGAAAACGACAGCGGCATTGACAAACCATCGTCAAACGGCGCGACCTGCCAGGAGGTCGATGGAGCAAACGAGGACACATCGGATAATGGCCATGCAACTTCCAAGACCGACCATTCTAATGGGATCGTAAATGGTGATGTAGGTAATTCTGTTATTGTTAATCCTCCATTTGAAGAAGAAAAATTTTAAAAGCATCCGAGCTAAAGTCATGCGTGAGGTATTGAAAATACTTGCTGGACTGACCTTGAGCTTAGCTGATTAGTGCTTTGGTTTGTGTTATTTTCGTCAATAGAGACCTTAAGATTCTAAGACGAGGACGACTACGAGTACGAGATTTTCAGCGTCATTTTGGCGGGAAAACGTTGTAGGCTTCGTCACTCTACTACGAGTTTTAGCGAGAATGTCGTAGTTGCGGAAACAAGTTCTAACTACTGAGATGTTAGAAAATTTTTATCTTTTTGCCATCGGGAGAAGGCTTAAACTCCTTCAATAAAAATAACCGTGCGAACGTTTCTGGTAAATAAAAGTACAAAGAAGCTTTCCAGGGTGTCTATTTTTTAACGAGACGCAAAAAACCTTAGGTTAAATCTCGTCCTCGTTGTCGTCGTTGCCTCGAATCGAAAGGACTCTATAGCCACCTTCTTAAATTTGAATACGAGCACGAAATCTGAAAAATGAAAGCTAGTGAGCAGTACTTCCCTGTGGTAGTATTCATTGTGCTGTACAAGGTGGTTCTAACTTTTGAGTCTGGGATGAAATCCTAAAGTGTGACGATTCAAATACGACCTCTTTAGCGTTTTACAAGATGCTGTCTGTTTTTCAGCTTTTTTCAAATGAAATTGGGACTTCTTTTGGGAGTAGAAGGGTTAGAATATGTTGCTTGGCGACATTCATAGCAGTAATTTAAACACGGTTATATAGTGTATTTTTCTGCCGCATCGATTTTAGCGCGCGCAAATTCGTATGTACTTAGTGTATTTATAGGGCATGTATTGATAAGCAATTATCAGCCAAAGCTTTAGATGAAATTCAAGAAATCGATAGGTTTATTTAAAAATTTAACTTAATTTAATTTGCTGATAGAACATAGCACGATTCATTCAATTTCAATTATCTTATTAGGTCCTGCTAAATATGTGTGTAAGTCATTTGAAATATTTTTCCATTTCCGAGTGCCTTTAATCCCCCAGCTAATTCTCCATAACCAGCTGTCTTCGTGGGATTTTTTTGCTTCAATCTGAACGATTAGTTGTAGTTTGCGAGTGATTTCACTGTAAAGTTTTGAACATTTTATGGCGTCATTTCTATGGTCTAGACCATAGAGTGTAGACCATTGAAAATTGTGGACGATTTGTTTTTTAAAATAACATCTATTTTTTACGAAAAACCAAAAACAAAACAACCGGCATTGCGTGACATGTTACGTCATTTCCATGGTCTATACTCTCATAAACCATAGCTCCTGACCAATCAGCGCGCGAGGATTCGCTCAGTTTTTGTAAAAAAAAGTATATGGAAGTGGTTGACTGCAGCTAGCTAGAGCCTTACTAAAAAACGTAGAAAACATTACTGCCAGAGTCGTATTTCGAGGCAAAATTAGCGGGCACAGAATTTGTTTTTTTAGTGCGGGTGAAATGGGCAACATTTGGGCTTCCTTGATACTGTTTCATAACTTAAACATATCCTTATTTTGTTACATATCTAAGGCCTGGTTCAGACGAGGTACTTTTCATGTGCCGAACCTAACTGAATAAGTTCGACTTTGGAGCGACACTGGCGCGACATCTGATTCAGACGGCGTACCGTGTGTCGAACCTAAGTTAAAGGGAACCTCCACTTCAACAAAAAGATAACTTTAAATCACAGGAAATAACTGTTACAGTCAAGTCAATCTAAAATATTTTTAAAGAAAGCGTTTGTATCCGAAAGAAATAACTTTTAGATTCGCCTATTTTTGTTTTCAAATTTTGCGGGCGTCGCCATCTTGAATAATTGTGACGTGTTATGGTTGCCCTATTGTTATTAAACAAAAGCTCTTTGTGTCAGAACAATAGAGCAACCGTAACACGTCACAATTATTCAAGATGGCGGCGCCCGCGAAATTTGAAAGTGAAAATAAGCGATTTTAAAATTCACTTTTCCTGATATAAACACTTTTTTTAAGACAAATTTCGAACAAATTTGTTTATCAACGTAATTTTATTCGATTTAAACTTATTCTGTAGTAAGAGTGGAGGTTCCCTTTAAGTTCGACAAAAGTTCGACAGACTCTGTCGAACTTAACGCTTTTGCCGCACCAAACTAAAACTGCCGTAGCAAATTGATTCAGACGCCGCTCTTTTGCCGTACTTAATTCATCAGTTAGGTTCGGCACATGAGTGGAGCGGCGTCTGAACCGGGCCTAAGTTTATAGTTCTTTGAAAGCAATGACAAATGATTAAAGTCATGGTTAACTTTTCATCCTCTCCTTGAACTTGAAAATTTTCCCAACGAAATCACACCCCGCAAAAGACAAAGTAAACAAAATTGTGCAATTTCAAAGTACATGTATTTCCAAAGAGAGGGAATTGTTATTTCGAGTGGCATTTTTTTTTTTTTTTTTTTTGGGGGGCATTGTTATAGTAGCCTCATTGTCACGATGATGCGTTTCCCAAACACCGCACTGTATTTTGGTCAAATCTTAGATCCTGGGGAATATCATTCCGGTCCCTGGCCCGGGCCCCTGTTGTTGAAAAGGTGGATATAGCTATCCACTGGGTATTGTTCCTAGAGCCCGAATGGGCTCTGAGTCAATAGCCCACGCGGCCTTCGGCCTCATGGGCTATTGACTCAGAGGCCATGAGGGCGAGAGGAATAATTGTTTTAGTAAAATCCAACCAGTTGGTCAAAATTATCGAAAATGAAAAAATTAGCTAGTTAAAGCTACAATCGGCGACAAAATTGTTGAGACATTGCACTCAAATAGGGTAACTTCCGAGAACAAAAGAATCCGCATCCCTCCCCTGTCCCCTCCATTCAAAGTTGGGATGTTTGTTGTTTTCTATAGGTAGCTAGAACAAGGGCACAACATTGCACGGAGGAGATGGGGGAGGAATGTTATATTTCCTCCTTTTGAAGTTAGTAAAACGTAAAAAAGCCCAGTTTTGGCCGAAGTGTCTCAACTCATTTTGTCGCTGATTGTCTGAATCGAAATCTACGCGCTGTTGTCCTATTAGCAGCGGTTGGGAGACAATAACTAGTTGAGATTGCTATATTCACCGGGTCGTTATTCAGAAGATAGATAAGATACCCATATGATCCCTTTCCTGTGTTTCTCGAGGGAAAATTAGTTTTGACAATCTTTGTACTCTGTAGTGTTTTCAAGTAATTACGCAGCACACCCGCGTACCGAATGACTGATTTTCCTCTGGCTACTAAGTGTAATCGTTAGGAATCGATGGCAGATAATATATTGCATTTGAATATATCCCTAGTAAGTTCGAAGTGTTTATTCGAAGTTTGGCTATTTGACAAGGGTGGGATGGACGATAAAAATAGCCATGATTGCTATGCGCAGGAGAATTTTCAGGAAAAATGTTCCAACTTCTAACGCACAGCAAAACTGCATAGGATCGCTAAATCTGTGCAGTAGATTTGTTGCCCATATACCCATAAGGATCTTTGAAGAATGTACTTTACAGTAGAAACTATGAGGTCAGGAGGAGACTGGCCACGAGTAACCAACTTTGTTCTTAAAAGATAATCAGATTATTTTATTTTATACTCATCGTCGTTACTCGTGGTTCCTCGTGGAAATTCCTCCTAAAGAGCAATTTTAGCCATTATAACTACTTTAACGCCTAGAAATCTATTAACTTGTCTATCCTTTTCACTTTGTTCTTTGTTTCGATGCGTTTCGATAAAGGAGAGAATAAGAAATCGTGCGCGACGCGCCACATCGCACGATGTCAAGGCACGGTTGAGCGTGACACGAAATGTCACGCACTGAAAATAACGAAATCGCCTTATTCTAATTGTGCTAAAATAGGTATGATGAAGTCAAACATAACAAATAAAAAACCAACAGGGGTCTTACATCCCAGCATAAAGAAATGAATTCAATTAATTTTCTAAAGGGCGTACGGCCACTTTTGCGATTCAGACAATCGGCGACAAAATTGTTGAGGGTAACTTCGGAGAACAAAAGAATCCGCACCCCTCCCCTGTCCCCTCTATTCAAAGTTGGGGTGTTTGTTGTTCTCTATAGGTAGCTAGAACAAGGGCGTTTGCCGTTTGGCGTAAACGTGAATCTTAATCTCTCTGATACTGAGTATTGCTCCCGCGTGAAACAGCGTCATCTTGGCGGGAAAACGTGACAGCCGTCGTCATTCTACTACGAGTTTTAGCGAGAATGTCGTAATGGCAGGAACAAGTTATCAAATGCCGGAAGAAGTTTTATCACTTTGCTATTGGGAGAGGGCTAACCGTCCTTCAGTATAAATAACCGTACTAACATTTTTGGTGAAAAATGGTAAATTGAAGCGTTCCGGGGTGTTTTTTTTTTGGGAGAACACGCGTAAAAAACTTGAAAATAAATCTCGTCATCGTTCTCGTCCTCAAATCTAAAGCACTCTAATACTTATCCGCTAGATAGTGATTTATCCAACGCTCGAACAACCGGGGCCAGAAAGTCGGTATCACACACCTTCCATGCGATATGGACAGATCCGCAATATCGGGCGATCTCATGGATATAACTGAGAACAATACATAATCCGGTTTCCATATAACCAGCTGGTTCGTGATAAAGGCAATCGAGTGTCCACTTGATGTTTTCTTCGATTTTTGCATCCAAGGTTTTAGAAACCAAAAATAAAGTAAGGCCCGGTTCAGACGTCGAATTTTTCATGAGCCGAACCTAATACACCAATTAAGTACATGAAAAGTTCGGCGTTTGAATCAATTAGGAACGCCTGTTTCAATTTGGAACGGCTCAGCCGTTCTTTTCGCCAAGCCCGGCCGGGAATTTCGCCTTTGGAGCTACTTTGGAACGGCTTCGATTCAGACATTGAACTTTTCATGCACCGAACCTAATACATAAATTATTATAACGTATTTTGTAAGCAGTTTGACCGAAATGAGCATTTTTCGCATTTTGAACTTAGTTCAGCTGGAATTAAGATCGGCGTCTGAATCAATTCAGCCGGTCTTATAATTTGGGTCGGCCTTAACATGAATTCGAATTAGGTTCGGCTCATGAAAAGTTCGGCGTCTGAACCGGGCCTAAAACCTTGTAGAGTTAAAAAAAAAAAATCGATTATAAACATACGGGACCGCAAATATTTTTGTTACCAAATAAAGGAAAAACAAAAAGAAAAACAAAAAATCGTTATCCCTCTCCAGTTCTCCAGTAAAATTACTGTGTCCCGTGAAATTACCTTAAATGACTGACAAGCAAGAGCAAGAATGACGTAACACGAGGAACTTTATTTATGACGCCCATGTGGCCATCAGTGTTTTTTGATCAGCTTTGTAGAACGCATCAAACAAAGACCGGACGCCACTTTTAAGATGGAAGTTGACGAAAATGCGGCCGAAAAGTTTCGTTGGATTCGGCTTAGCCGGACATTTGGAAGGTTTTCATTCAATTTACGGTTTAATCCAGTGGTAACGTTCGTCTCAGCTGCGATTATATGGTTCTTCGTAATCTGGTGTTCGGTGCAAGCCGATGTTGCGCTAGATGAAATGAGCAAATGGATGAAGTGGATAACGAACACCTGTACATGGATGTACATCGGGACGCAGGACGTCTGGGCCATCTTCATCGTTGTCCTGTACTTTTCCAAATACGGCAAAATGAAACTGGGAAAACCGGACGACAAACCGGATTTTAGCGACGCAACATACTTCACAATGCTTTTCGCGGCTGGGATTGGTGTTGGGTTGTTCTATTTCGGCGTTGGTGAGTGTTTTAATTAAAGTGGGATCCATCGGGGATTTTTGAACATTTTGTCCTAAACTGCCTGACATATTTTAATGAGTTTTCTTTAGAGGAACTACATCTGCGACTAACATTTAAAAAATATTCGGCATAAGTGAAATGTATTCTATTAGCCCCTTTCAGTTTTTACTGTTCCAATTTCGATTCATTTCGAGTCGTTTTCTCCAAAAATCGAGCCGCCTGTTGATATTTTAAAGAGCACGCCGATTGCCATCTCGTGACGACGGGTATTGTCTGAAACCAACAACTGTGCGCGCGAAATTAATACGACACGTTTCTAGTTTACACTGCTTGAAAAACCTTCCAAGTTTTGCCTCACCTTTAACCCGAAACATGATAACAGACTGAAAACAAAATTTTTTGGTTACCAAACTGCTCTGTGAGTTTGTCTGTCTAGCGTTTGGTTTGACGCCGGTTTTCCGACGACGCACACAAACAAGCAAACGAAAACAGACACAAATAAAAACAAAACAAAGAAAACTGGGTTAAGAAGGCTAAGGACAGCCTTGTTCAGGCACATTCAAGGTGATAGTAGCGGAGTAGGGCTTGGCATAAGTATAGATTTGTCGCTGAATAATGAAGGCATTATTATGGGCTCCCGAGTAAAGTCATCATGAATTTATTTAATACTTGCAAGTACTATTGCTCGTATCATTAGTTGAGTAAAAAGGAGAATTGTACTTTGACACTTGTCAAACGTTTTCCTCAGCTCTATATTTTAAGCGATGAATTTAATATCATGATCCCTTCTTAGCTTCTGACTCGACTGCTTTATGGCAAATGAAGTCCTAATGAATGAAAATCACGTGCATATTCTTTCGTGATGTTTACTCTGTTTTTATAGTGGGTGACAGATTTTAGACAGATCCCTGGAAGGACATCTGCATTAATAATTTTTGATATCACGCAAGGCCAGGAGAATGGAGGATCTTTCGATTACGATAAAAGATAGATCAATACCGAAAACAATTACAAATACTCGAAGTACACGCATGTCAGTGCCCTTCTTTAAATTACCGACGCGCGTTTCAAATGACGGTGTAATCCGGCTCTTTTCGTTTCCATCTAAAATAAACACTCTCGGTGACCGTGGTAAGTCCGGGGGTGGGGGGGCAGTCGCGAGTCCTGATCTACCCTCTTCCGCCAATGAAGCCATCAGAACATGGAATTTGAAAATAGAAAATGTTTACTTATAGGAACAAGTGTTTTGAAACTATAATTGCTACCAAAGGATGATCGCATACAACATTCATCTAGTAATTTATAAATGAAGTATTTATGGGCGCTTGTCGTTAAGTATCATAAACATGTGAACGATGAAAGTGGGTGCCGGTGGAAGTTAAGACCTCACTCCCCTCCTGGATCTGCCACGAAGCCCAACTCTGGGCGGAAACGGCGTTGTCTTTTAAGCATCGCAGGCTCAAATGCAGAAAATAGTTGAGGTATAAATATTTTTGAATGTTTTTAAAAATAAAAATGTATACCGAATATAAACATGTACTTGGCAACACTTTTCGCCCCCCGTAAGCTGCGATGTCAAGAATAATCAATACAGTCAGCTCAATATTTGAACGTCAGACTCAGCTGCCGAAACCGAAAAAATGTGTGTTATTTTTGTGGCCGGAAATAGAAAGGCTTGTAAGTAATTTGCATTTTTTTTTCTCTTAGGCGAGTAAAATAACTCACTCCAGTAAAATTACTGTTAGGACGAAACGGAAAGGCGTTGCCGCGTCTAGAAAATTTGATTAGTTTTGGACTTCGACGTCAACAGAGCACCTTGATATCTAGCCTAGCCTGTTCCACCCTCTCAGATAGTTCAGTGAAAGTAACGCGACAACATGAGCGCGTGATCTAGGAAAACGGGGCCGTGATTCCGTTTTATTTCCGTGTTTGCGCTTTCTCAATTTCGCGGGCCCGACTGTCTCGGAGCCCCTGGAACCTACTTCAGTTCTATTTTTTCACCCCACCCCCTCTCCCCTAAAAGCGATTCTCCAATGATCCAGACTAATTTGTGACAGTTTCCAGATAGTCTACATGGCGTAAAAGGCGCCGGTCTTTTTAGAGCGAAGGCTGAAATTTCGAGGACGCGCGCACGTGCACGAGGGGAGAAAAGGAGGCGTGTTCCCCTCGCGCTCTTTGGAAATCGAAAAAGAATAAAAAACTAACCGGCGTCTGTCACGTAGGCTACTATATAGTTCCCAGACCAACGACGGTCACGTTATTTCTGGATTTAGCAAGCCAAAGGAGATATTAACTTTAAGAGCTACACTGTAAATCTGAGGATAAATAAAGGTGATGTATGTATGTATGTATGCTTAAAGGTATCGTTCACAACTAGCAGTCTATTCATTCAAAAGTGAAAACATACTGTAGCAAAAGAGACCACAATGTTCTTACAGTAAACTCTGTTGACACATACAGCTACGTGTACCATAGTGTGCAGCAGGATACCCTAAAATCACACATGATTCTCCCTGTTATTTAGCCCTAGCCCTGATCGTGCCCTCGGGCTGTCCCATACTCCTTGCGGCAATTTCTCTTGCATCTGACGTGCACACGGCACAGATATGATGCTAGAGTCCAAAGTCACTCGTTCCAAGTTTCCAGTGCAAGGTTGATTCAGATTGAACGGTGATTCCAAGCAACAGCACCAGGGGCACCCAACGACTGTTTTCTGTAAAATATCTGTTCGGAGGCGCAAAAATTGCCTCTTTTTCTATAGCTTGAGGAAGGCTAAAAATTTCTAGATAACCGTTCCATTCATGTACAATTTTCGTAACATATCTAATAAATTCTCTACGATTTTCTAAAGTTTAATTTTTCGCATTTCAGTACCCAAGTTTGCCCGTTTTTCTTAGAAAAAGGAAACCTAAAATTTTCGGATTCAAACATGCGATGGAGGGAGGAATCAGAAAAATTCTTACTTTCCTAAAAACTTAAAATTGCGTCTAAAATTTTCGGGAAAATCATACGGAGGCCCTTGTAATTTCAAAAAGGCTCAAGTTGCCCTAGGACGACCGAACAGATACAAATTTTACAGCACCGCTTAGAATGCATTTCTAGGGAGCTGAAATTACTCTGGATAGCCTGAAAAGTGTTTTCAATGCATTTAGAAGGAAACCGTCGTTGGGTGCCCCTGTAGCACGAAGCCATTGTGATTTTTTCTGTAAATAAGGAAGTAAAGTCCTTTTTTGCGTTCTAGTTTAACACTGCAATCGCATTGTTAATGGCCAATTTGCAGATGTTGTTAGAGAGGAAAAACTCCCATCGGTATTTGATCGTTGTTGAATGATCATGTTCGAAGGAAAGTTACCTTCGGAGTGCAACAGGAAGGTACAAATTTAACGTCACTTTCAGAAAAATACTATCATACTATCAAAAATTTTGATCACGTGATCAAATCATTTCGCTATGGATCGATGCCGCGCGTACCGAATCAACAACATGGTGGGCCTCACTGGTTCGCTTTTTTTCCTTGGGTTCTCTGTCAGGGTTGTCGAGACGGGTTGGTGCGTTTAATTTATGGTATTTTCATTGTTTTTTCACAGCTGAACCTGTTCATCACTATGCTTCTACACGTTACTACAAGGCCGGAAATCGCTACTATGGAAGGTAATCACAAATCCCCCCTCGACACACACCCCCAAAAGGTTTTCCAGCTGTAAAAAATTTCGATACATTTGGTTTTGATCCAAGATTTACAGGTTTCGACTTTGTATTTTATTAACACGAAAGGGTCTGAAGTGAAATATAAACAAATCGCATGCTATTAAAAAGAAGGCAATAAACGGCTCTTGATTTACGAAATTTTGACAAACGACTCATAGTAATCCTAGAGGAGGGAAAGTAGCCCCCCACGCAGACGTTCTTAGGGTTTCATCACGCGTTCCTGCCCCACGACGAACCCTTAAGAACGTCTGCGTGGGAGGCTAGAGGGAAAGACGATAAAAAAGGCATACGAAACGTGAACACAATTTCAAGTGGGTCGACTTTCAGTTAAAATTACAGATTGCTCAATTAATTTAAAAACACTTTCTTATGGTGGGAATTTATGCATTTATCATTTCCGGGTGCGAAACCCTTTTGGCGCTTGTGATCATGGCCTCATTGAAACCCCAATAATCCCGGCAAATACAGTAAACACACGCTAATAAGAACCAAGGGGTTAAGAACCTCCTGGGAGAAATTTGCCACTTTAATACCCAAAAATACAAGAACCTGTTTAGCCAAGCAACTAAGCAGGTTCTTATATGTGATTTACCGTGAAATTATGAAAAACAATTTAAGAAAGGAGTGTAACTGAGTTGTGAGTAATTTAACAAGAACTTACTGTACTAAACTGTATATAAATTCGGTTACCAGTTTTGGTAGCCTAGTTCTAATAATACAATTGTGAATAAATTAAATGAAAAGTATATTTATTTACCTGGAAATCAACAATCTATTATCTCCTTCATAAAAATTAAGAACCTAATAAAGAACCTATTTAAGAACGTACTTAGGCAATAAGTACCCAAAATACAAGAACCTATTTTGCCAGACTTCAAAAACGTTTGTTCTTATTAGCGGATGTTTAATGTACTAATGTCTCCAAACATTTTCTAAGAGAATAAAAGGAGAAAACGTGTTAAAAAATCATAGCTTTCCTCTCTTAGGTAAAGTAACATTGTTCAATTCTCATAACCATTTCCCTTAATAATATGTGTTGTTAGGAGAAAATTGATGCATGTTGGTCACTTTTAAAGACTTTAACGGTTTCTTTTCGACAGACACAACGACAATCAACGAGCTCAGGATGCTATCAATTTAACTCTATTCCATTGGGGTATCCATGGTTGGATCGTGTATGTGGTGGTTGGTCTTCTTCTCGCGTTTGTGGGTTACAGGAAAGGCCTTCCTATGACCATCCGCTCGTGTTTCTACCCGCTTGTGGGCGAAAAGATCTTCGGATGGATGGGTGACGCCATAGACATCCTCTCTGTGTGCTGCACTATGTTTGGTGTTTGCACCAGTCTAGGAGTAGGTGTCATGCAGATGAACACAGGATTTCAACGCATTTTTAAAAATTTCGAATACTCAGTCAAAAACCAAATCATCCTTATTTGGTGCGTGACTGCATGTGCCACAGCGTCCGTGGTCAGCGGTCTGAAAGTTGGAATCCGGAGATTGAGCGAGATTTGCTTCAGTCTTGGCATGTTCCTTATGTTGATCGGGCTCTTTTACGAAGATACCTGGCATGTCTTTAACGTGTATGTACAAAGCATAGGTTACTACATTCAGTGGATCATCCAACTTGGCTTCCACACAGACGCCTTTGCACAACTTGGAAATGCACCGGACGGCAAGCAGGCCGAAACGTGGATGAATGACTGGACCATCTTTTACTGGGGCTGGTGGATTGCCTGGTCGCCTTTTGTGGGCATGTTCATCGCAAAAATCTCAAAAGGGCGAACCATAAGAGAGTTTATTAATTGCACTTTGACAGCTCCTATAATATACACGTTCTTGTGGTTCTGCATTTTCGGTAGTGCAGGGTTGAAGATGGAACGAGATGCGGAAAAGGCCAGTATCATATGCTCCTCTACTCTAGGAGGTAAAAACAGCACCGAGGCCGCGAATGGATTGTTTAGGCTCTCTTGCAGAAAAACAAACGACATGTGGTTTGACGTCTTGGGCCAATATGGTGACCTGGGGCCATTCCTCTCGGTCGTATCGCTGGTTAGTATCATCCTGTACTTTGTGACCAGCTCTGACAGCGGTTCCTTGGTGATAGACTGCCTATCTGCAAACGGTGATCCGGAGCCACCCACTATCCAGCGTATTTTCTGGGCGTTAACAGAAGGCGCCTGTGCCACATCCCTGCTCTATGCCGGAGGTAAAAACGGCTTAACTGCCCTTCAGTCCATGTCCATAGCATCGGGCGTGCCTTACACCATTTTATTGTGCCTAATGTGCGTTTCATTATGGAGGGCGGTAAAGATGGAAGAAGGTGATCTTGATCAGTACGGTCCACAGTTTACCACTGGCTTGTTAGACGTATTAAGCAACCCGACGTTGCCTAGCATTCGAAAGGTCCTTATTGCCGTCGTCGCACCGTGGTATCCAATGGGGAAAGCTGCCTTCAAGATTGGTGGATCAAAGGGCCATCAGAGCGTCTACATGCTAGCCCTTGCGGCGCCGTTTTATCTCTGGATTGTCCTGATGTTCCTTGAGCATGTCGTTGACGGAATATGGACAGTGGCATGGACAGTGCTGTTTGCATTCTTTGCCTACGGCACAGCAATCCGTAATGCCATACGTGAGAAATACAACATCAATGGCAACATGGTTGAAGATTTCTTTGCAGTAATGCTTACCTACCCATTTGCAGCGTATCAAATGGAGCACCATGTCGATCATATCCATGGTCTCGACTTAGGTGAGCCGTCTCTGACAAATGGCGTGGCCCACAAGTCCATTTGCATGTCTGAAGTGCGTATCAACGCCCTCACTGAAAAAGACAGCGGCATTGACACACCATCGTCAAACGGCACGGTTTTCCAGGAGGTCGATGGAGCAAACGTGGACACATCAGATAATGGCTATGCAAGTTCCAAGACGGACCATTCTAATGGGATGGTAAATGGTGATGTAGGTATTTCTGTTGCTGTTAATCCTCCATTTGAAGAAGAAGAACTTTAAAAGCATCCCAACGAAAGTCATGGGTGACGTATTGAAAATACTTGCTGGACTGACCTTGAGCTTAGCTGATTAGTGCTTTGGTTTGTATTATTTTCGTCAATAGAGACCTTTAGATTATAAGACGAGGACGACTATGAGTACGAGATTTCCTCAAAACTAAGTAGTGCGCGCGCGTGAACAGGCGTCATTTTGGCGGGAAAACGTGGTAGCCGTTGTCATTCTGCTAGGAGTTTTAGCAAGAATGTCGGACTGGCGGAAACGGTAACTGTATCGCGCGAACTTACTCTTTCATATTGACGATCATGACTAGCACATGACTATACCTTACGGATAAGACTGGCGTAATAATTTTTTGTATCAGGCCCTGGAATTTGCTTTGAACTGTTACTCATCTCGTTCTCGTAGATAGTCTTATATAAAAGTTCCTACTGTTGTCGTTGCTTCTCATGAAAAAACATGGGCCTTTTTAAAGCTGCCACAAAATTTAAACGTAATAAGCTCTAATGAGCTGACCCAGTTTGTGACTTTTTGAATAGTTTGAATAATGTTCGTTTAGTTTCTGTCTTAAACCTTTTTACTCCCAGATAGCCTGAGAAAACAGACGAGGAAATATCGTCTGTTTTCTCAGGTAACTCCCAGAGTAAATGACTCTATGCAGTACTTTCCTGTGGTACTGTTTTTATGCTGTGCAAGGTGGTTCTAACTTAAGACTCTGTGGAAGAAATCCTTAAGTGACCATTCAAATTAAAGCTACTGAGCAGTACTTTCCTGTGGTACTGTTTATTATGCTGTACAAGGTGGTTCTAACTTAAGACTCTGTGGATGAAATCCTTAAGTGTGACCATTCAAATGAAAGCTACTGAGCAGTACTTTCCTGTGGTACTGTTTATTATGCTGTACAAGGTGGTTCAAACTTTAGACTCTGTGGATGAAATCCTCGAGTGTGACCATTCAAATGAAAGCTACTGAGCAGTACGTTCTTTCTTTATTATGCTGTAGAAGGTGGTTCTAAATTTTGAGTCTGTGGCTAAAATCGTATAGTGTGACCATTTAAATGAGACCTCTTTAGCGGTAGTTTTACATGGTGCTATTTGTTTTTCAGCCTTTTTCAAAATGAAATTGGGGCTTAATGTTGAATTTCGACTTTGGCCACTTTTGGGAGTGGGGGGGTTACAATGCGTTGCTTGGCAACCTTCATGACAGCCATTTAAACACAGTTACTTGTAAGTAACAAAGAATATCATGATTATAGTGTATTTTTCTGCCGCATCGATTTTAGCGCGCGCAAATTTGTATGTACTTGGCGTATTTATGGAGCATGTATTGATAACCAAGTATCAGCTTAAGCTGAAGATACAATTCAAGAAATCGAAAGCCACTAGTTTTATTTAAAAATTCAACGTAATTTAATTTGCTGATAGAAAATGGCAAGAATCTTTCATTTCGATTATTTTATTAGCTCCTGCTAAATAATGTGTTAGTCTAAATATGTGTATGTAATTCCCAATATTTTTCCATTTCTAATTGTTCTTCATAGCTCTCTCCGGAGGATTTTTTGCTTCAATCTGAACGAATAGTTGTAGTCTAAAATTCACTCAGGGGCACGCAACGACTGTTTTCTGTAAAATATCTGTTCGGAGACGCAAATATTGCCTAGAATTTTCTTTTGATTGAGGACGGCTAAAAATTTCTAGATGCATGACCGTTCCATTTATGTAAAATTTTCGAAGCTCATCTAAATTCCCAACGATTTTCTGATATTTATTTTTTCACATTTTACTCCTCATGTTAGGTTATTGTTCGAAGAAAAAAGAAAATGTAAAATTTTCGGATTGAAAAATGTGAAGGAAAGATGAATCAGAAAGAGGAATCTCTCTTTTCTAATACGTTACATTGCATCTAAAATTTTTGGGAAAATAATACTGAAGACCTGGTAATCTCGAAAAGACTCACGTTCCCCTGGGATGACCGAACAGACACAAATTTTATAGCGAGGCTTAGAATTCATTTCTAGACATCTAAAAGCGACACTGGATAGTCTAAAAAGTGTTTTCAGTGTATTTAGGACGAAACCGTCGTTGGGTGCCCCTGTTCATAGCTCGGCCATATATAGTCATGTTAGAATGCAGCTTTGAATTTGAACCTGGTAGCGGGAACTGAATTTAATTTTTTAAATAATCATAAATTATACGGAGGTGCGCTTCACCTGGTTTGCTTGTAGCGCCTTATTAAATAACTAGGGAAACATAATTGAACAGGGTATTTCGACGCACAATTTGCGGGCCCAGAATTGGATTTTCGTACGAGTGAACTGGGTAACATTTGCGCTTTCTTAATACTGTTTCCTAATTTAAACATCGCCTTATTTTGTTACCTATCTAACCCTTTGGTACTTTGAAAACAACGATAAATGATTAAAGTTATGTTTTTTTAGACTTCAAACGTGAAGACACTACAGTTCTGACTTTTCATCCTCTCTTTGAACTTGAAAACCTTCCCAAAGGAATCACACCCCTAGAAATACCAGTCGCACCAGATAAAGTGAACAAAATGGTGCAATTTCAAAGAAAGGGAATTATTTTTCCAAGTGACATTTGGACACTGGTGTTGTAGTCTCTCTAAGTCTCTATGGTCACGATGATGCGTTCATCAGGGCATTCGTGTCCTCACGCGTGCGTTTTTAACCTTCATCTCTCTCTCACGCGCGTCTTCCACGCAGGGTAGAGATGCCACTTCTCCCGCCGAGCCCGAGCTAATCCGGTTTCTTCAGCATAAATTATCACTACTCTCCACCGGACAGGATGTCGCTATCATATCCTCTTAATAATTGATAAACAAAAAGAAATTTTGATAGGGCAATTAGCGTGCACAACTGACAAAAATACTTTTAAGGTTAAAAAACAGCTCTAACGGCTAAATTTTTTTCATGACTTACCTAATAAAGATTATTCATTTCTAACTAACCTCAAATATAATTAGCAAGTAAATTTGATCTTGACGTCACTGTAATAGCCCCAATCTTCCCGAACCGCTTAGCGGTGGACAAAATGGACGACCACTGGCCGGTTTCAGATTTTCCCAGTAGGCTCGATTAGCTCTGTAAATAAGCAAAAAAAGGGTCACAATTTTTACCTAAGACAGCTCTCTATCCCTCTCTCAAAAGCCTCGTCTCAACTTGATCGTGCTAATCCTTTCATTCCAGATCTTTAGATTCTCAGACAAGGACGACTATGAGTACGAGATTTCTCACACTAAATAGTGCTCGCGAGCGTGAATCAGCGTCATTTTGGCGGGAAAACGTGGTAGCCGTCGTCGTTCTACCACGGGCTTTAGCGAGAATGTGGTAGTGGCGGAAACAAGTTATCAAATGTTAGAAGGTTCATCATTTTGCGATTTGGATAGGGCTTAACCCTCCTTCAATAAAGATAACAGTGCTTTTGACTTTTCTGGTGAATCATAACTACAATGAAGGTTTGCATGATGTCTATTTTTTGAGAGTAAGCGAACAATCCTTCAGTCAAATCCGTAGTAGTTCTCCTCTTCCAATCAGGTGCTCAGGTTCCCGACACTGTAAACTGTAAATTGTAGGTATCCTTTTGCTTGTGGCGCAGCTTGCATTAATAAAGTAATACCCCCTTATGTAAAACTGAATTTGAGATAGACCACTTGCCTAGTTCCTAGGCCTCATTATTGCGCTCGGCCGATGCGTTTCGGGTCACGTGATTCGAGCGAGTTTTGGAGGCCATTCGTCTCAACCTCGTTCCCTGGGAACAAAGTTACGGTCGTCTCGGGAGAGTCACCTACAAAGAAGAGCCAGTGGTGGATCCAGGGGAGCGGCCCGGCGGCCCCCGTCCTCCTCTTATTTGTGGATCAAACTGAGGCCCGAAGGGCCGGGAAAAACTTTTTGGAGACCGGGCCCCCTCCTTATCTCAGGGTCTGGATGACCGCCACCCCCCTCCCCCGCCACCCCTTCTATCTGAAGGTCAGGATCGGCCACTGATAAGCACATTGGATCTTTAACAAAACAGTGGTTGTGAGATGGGGAAACGGTTTTTCGACCTTATCCAAGAAGATTAGAAAGTCTAAATGTTTGCAGATGTCTTTGCAAAGGCAGCACTTTCTCCTTAAGGTACGGTAAAACGGGCAACAAACGACGTGCAAGTTATTTTGCAACATTGTTGCAAAATGAGTTGAATAGCCATCATGGTTGCCCGTTTTACCACGCAAGTTAAAAAAAATCCTTGAAACCTCATTTGTTGCAAGACGTTCGAACGGCGGTGGTAAAGCGGTGGTTGCACGTTTTTTGTTACCCGTTTTAATGTAGCATTAGTTATTTAAAGACCCTGAGAGTTGCCCTGGCCGGGGTTTGAACCAGCGGCACCCCGCTCGGCAGACCGCTGCTAACCGGGTGATGGTTCATCACATGGAAACATCGTCCAAGCAATGCGGAGCACGGGTTATCGACGCACGTTAACCGGAAGTGGACTTTTTTCATTCTAGGGCAGTGGTTTTACCCCAATTTTCGGGTAATTCATCTACATAAGAGTAAAGACAGTTGGCGGATACAATTTTGCTAGCGTTTGGGCATGTTAACCCTTTTAGCCCTAAGAGTGATCAGCATCAAATTTCTCCCTGTAATATCAATGCTTTGTAAAACAGAATGGTCATGAGAATTGCGGACATGATCACACAAGATGAATTTGCTTGACATTTTATCAACTTCTCCCCACTACTTCTGCAGAAAACGAATCAAAGCAACATTGAAAATTCAAATTTTGATCTTAGGGTTTAAAGGGTTAAAAGGGAAAAGGGCCTCACTTCCGGTCGACGTATGTACCTGGTGATGCTCAGTTCCTTCTGGGTCTTACCTTTCTCGGATTTCAGCGACCGCGTGATGTTTCAGTGCTCCTCCCCAGGGACTGTGCTTGTCACTAGCGGCGGGTAACCTGCCTCGTTCAGGAGCCAGCTGAAACGAAAACAAGGAGTTACAGCTGCTACCAGGGCACAGGAAAACCAGTAAAGTTTAAAAATACTTGAGAGGCTGGAACTTATTTGGCCTTACGTGGCCTGTCCATGAACTTGTTGTTTATGATTCCCCCTCTCCCATTTTCAAAGTTGCTAGCAATACAAGACCATGCTCAAAACTTGGAGGAACAACGTTGAATGGACGGGAGGGAAGGGAAAAATGTTATATACGAGAGTGACTAGCAGTAATTTTAAGTGAAAAAAGCCGATTTTTCCGTCAGTGTCTCAACATTTTTGCAGCTGGTTATAGCATATCATTGGGTTATCCATGATTTAATAACCACGGTATCATATCGATAAAAGGCAAAGTATCACGTCGATGAACAAAAACTAATCAGTATACAAACCAGAAGGAAATTGTTGTTCACGGGACCTTCAGCGATTTTGGCACAATCTCTATTGATGAAATGGGTTACACTATACATGGAATTCCAGTTTTAATCCGTGGGGAGCCTGACCAACCACTTAACTTTGAAGGAAGGGTGTGTAGTGTATCTCAGTTTTGATTGGCAAACCGTATCAGCCATCGCACATTTTGGCTGATATCTTGGGCAATCTATTAATGATTTAGCCAACGACTATTTGGCAAACATCAATCTGTATTCTAGGTTTATACTCTTACTTAAGTAAAAGTATCTGGAAAACTTACCAACCTCTTCAGCGATAGCCCGGATGTGGTATGGTTCATATCCACAACAGCCGCCAATATACCTGACTCCTAAATCATAGGCCTGTCGAGCGTACTTATGCACGTCCCAGCGAGTTACCTTTCGAGGTTCCATAGCTAAAAGAAATAGTGATAATCACGTAAATAAACTAGCACCTGTCTTTACAGGTGAAATTAGGGATCTTAAGATCGGATGATGGCGACTGCGGCGACAGCGGCGAGATTCGCGTTCTTTCAATCCTCTTCGCGATTAATCCAACTCACTTTCTTTCTTAAACTTGGAGTTGAATTCTCAAGAACCAATTCACGTTCGGTCGCTTGTTTACTTCCTACATAAAACGTGAAACGTTGTAGTCGAGCACTGACGGCAAAAAAATGCACCAAAAAAGCGTGCTGGACGTGCAGAGTTGTTGTTTTGCTAACGAAACTCATTGTCTTTTTGAAGACGTTCTCATTGCCGTCGCCGTGGTCACTGCTTAAGCTCGCTATTACTCACCCAAAATAAAAAGGGACTGGGAGTCACAAACTGTTGCTAAACACAGGACCATGTTCACCTGGATTTTGCTAACCTAAAATTTAGACTGGCTAGTGGGCAAATATCCCTACCCATTGTATAACTTGCGTTTTTTGTAAGCCCTGCTAACGTTAATTCGATTAGGGCCATTTATACGAGGAAAAATAAGACGCGTCTTACATAAGCCGCGAACTGGACCATTTATACGAGCATGTCTTATCTAAGTCTTCTGTATACTTAAACTTACTTTTAAAGTGTAAGTTTACAATACGAAGACAGCAATTTGATTAGTAAATATAAATTGTGATAGTTTAAAGTTAAAAGGGTCTGCTTACACCAGCAGATGTTACGCATTTGTCCAGGAGGTCTGTTATCGCCTTCTCCTTACATAATAACAACAAATCTTTTCCTCCGCGATGGACCAAGTGTTTCTTTTTATCTTTAACGGCATGCTTATTGTATTTGAGCGAAGAAAAAAATAAAGCAGAATAGAAAAGGAAACGAAAACGCGTTGTAATTTGTAAACAATTTTTCCCCGCCAGTGGCCTGCCAGTCCACCGTGGGGCAAGCGATAATTTTCCCGCCAAAAATTAACGCATGCGTACTATGCGTTCGCGTCTTATGTGAAGACGCGAAGGTCATTTATACGAAGTTTTTCTCGTCTTAGCTAAGACGCGTCTTAGCTAAGAACAGGTGTTAAGGGCTGTTCTAAAATAAGACGCGTCTTAGCTAAGTCGCGACTTATTTTAGACGAAATGTGCCGTTTATACAGAAAGTTCGCGTCTTATGTATAAATGGCTCCATTGTTCACTCCGCCAACGATATTCGTGGTTAGCAACCACGTGGCACGTTGGGGGCCAATACAATATAATTTTTTTCTCGAAGATTTACATGAAACCCAGAAGAGGGAAATGCTTTTGTTCTTAACCACCCAACATGGCCGCCGTGACGTCACGTGCAAACAAGCAATATTGTCACGCTGAAGAATAAAGTGCTTCTCAATTTACGTCTTAGGTAAAGAAGGATAAGTGGAAAACTGTGATACAGTCGAACCTTCATGTGCGACCACCTCCTATGAGAACCAGCTATCCAAAACACCAAATAACCTGTACTTGATACAAGGTTTATCTGATCTCTATGTTCGCAGTTTGTACTACCCTACTTAGGTAGAGATGCCAACCTCTAGAGACTCTATTTTTTCCCCCCCCCCTGGAAATTCAACGGACCCCCCCCCCCACCCCTGACAAATTGACCCAGCCCCCAGTGGGAATGACTTAGGACATTACACTATCAAAATTCGCAAGCATCGTTTTAGTGCCAGAAATGATCTCTGTCAGTGACTAAATACGTGCAAAAATGCCCCTGCCAGAAACCGTACTGCGAATAAGAAAAATTCAAGTTTTGACCTAAAAATGGGCTAAATCTCAAACAAAGTCACAGAAAAGCTTGAAAGATGATTTTATCCGGGAGATATGGTGACCGGTACGGGAGAGCGGGAGATGGGTGCCGTATCCGGGAGACTCCCAGATAATCCGGGAGAGTTGGCACGTACACTTAGGGCATGCGAAGAACAACAGCACAGAGCACAGTCAAGGCTTTTCATTTAAATTCCCCACACATTACTTACTAATTTTCAAAAAAAACTATTGGGAGATGATGATACAGCTTAAACTCTGTGTTTTATACTCTCATAAAGCATGCCTTTTCAACCAATAAGAGAGAGCATTTTTAAACTTTACCAAGTGGGGCTTCTGGCAGGGCAGCAAGTCCCATAGGACCTGCATCTGGTGTTAGATAACCAACTGGTTGCATCATCAGGTGAACTGTAAGCCCTTCTTTATCTAATGCCTCTTTCATCAGTCCTATTGTTTGTAAGCTCAAGTTATGGTCAAAGCGACAATTGACTCCAATAATATCAGCTCCTACAAGAGATGTTATAAATACTTTAAGAACTTTACTGTACGCAATATCAAAAGATAAGGTAAGTACTTCACTATACCCATAGACCATTGGACTCCACTTTTGTCATGCTGTTCAAGCAGGATCATGTATGCAGCTATAGAGCTCAACCTATAGTTTCTAGCCTGCATCCTGACAGGAAAATCGACAATGGCTTTTTAAACAGGCCAATCATGGTACATACTCAAATCCTAGTACACAGGTGGGGACCCAGGACAAGGATTTTGGCGCTGTTTCACAGAGGGACTTGACCAGAGTTTAGTCTGTTGTGCAGGCTAGAAGAACATAGGATAGCCTGCGAAAACGTCCGTTTCTCCTCGCTCTTCGCCGATGGGACGTTTCAAAACATCCCCGGCGGCGAAGAGCGAGGAGAAACGGATGTTTTCGCAGGCTAAACATAGGACAGACTTAAATCAAGTTCAGGGGGAGCTGTGTCAAGTAGGTACCCGATCTGACTGGTAAAATGGTTATTATTGTGACAGCTGGAATAAGTGATGGCTGCAGTAAGCCTGTTTCCAGTTAGAAATAAAGATACACCAGAAAAATTCCCAACACTGGAGATCTACAAGGATTTATTATAACCATCTCAACAACATCATACCTGCTCTTGCCAGTCTGACAGCACAGTCTCCTGGAGGTACGTTATTCTTATCCCCCTTAGGACCTATACACATGGTGATGCCCATTGGTTTCCCTATGGCCTTCAGTGCCTCTACTGCCCACTCAGCTTCCTCAACTATACTGAAAAACTAATTGCCAGGAGAAAACAATTAAGGGGCACATCAGGGTTGTCAAAAGTGGCCAGCTGCCGTCAAAAATTGCCGCCTACTTTATTAGAATCAGCCAGCTACTCTGCTTGGCATTTCTTTATGGATGGCGTTTTTTAAATAAAATATCCCTGGACTGGCCGCTTACTTTGACAACTCAGCCACCTTCTTCAAAACTTTTTGACAACCCTGCACATTGTATGTTATTTAATTTGATGCTAAATTCAGCAAAGTGAAATATATTTCAATTATTGTATGTGGGCAACAACAGGAGCCTGCAATGCTAATCTCCATGTTGCTATTCTGCATGCTTGGCACATAACTATGTCACCAGCGTTCGTTTGGCCTTCCCCTAAGAAAAATGGAATGTTTAGAATGCAATCTGATCATGCGCATTTGTACCTTCTATCTCTTATAATTATCTGATCACCCCTGTTTTGACCTTCTATCACATGAAACTTAACCAAGTACCAGCATTGGAGATTTGGAGCAAAAGCTTTTTGAACTTCGATCAGAAACCTGAAATGTGTCTGCACTCCCACACCTCTGGTTATTACTGGCTGGATGAATATACAAAAATCAGCAGAGCCCATAACCCAGAGTAGGTAACAGCATTTTCATGGACCAGTTTATTTTTTGAGACAATAATTTCTGTATAGTGGCTCACCTCAGCAATAATCAAATCCACATCTTTTTCAACAAAAATTTCCACCTGGTGCCTGAACTTCTCCATCACAGCCTTTTTACCAGCTCCACTTGAATACAGTGATGCAGTCTGACAGATTGATCCAGCAAAAAATGCCCCTCCCTCCTGGGCCACGCCTTTGGCCAGGTCACATGCTGCCTGGTTTATCTTAGAGGCCTGAAAGAAAGTTCAGAAAACTGGCTGAATATTTTAGTGTGGCTTGTTTAATGACCACCTCCCCCTCCCCTCTCCTTGCTCGTTACAGCTGGGAATAAGAGACATCTACACCTTTATTTTAGGCCCTGTCCACAAATACCTGGATACAATGATTTTTTCCCTCCATTTTAGCCTTCTGTCCACATGTACACATCATTTGTCAAGCACCGAAAACATAGTTTTTCAATAATGGTTCCCATCAGAGTGCAGCTTCTAGTTTACCTGTGGATGGACTAAAATGGAGGGTTTCAAATACGATGATGTCATTATATACTAATAGTATTACGCATGCTTTGTAAGGGCTACTATCATATTTACATTTGTTTTAGTGTGTTTAATATCTGGATGGGCGAAAACGATTCTAATAATGCAACTTGTGGATGTGCATTTTTCTGAAAAATATTATGGAGAAAAAATCTCCCTTTTCAAAAGTATCAGGATACATGTGGACAGGACCTTAACCCATTAAGCCGAGTGATGAGTGTCAAATTTCTCCTTGTAATATCGCTGCTTTATAAAACAGAGTGGTCATGAGAATGAAGTACTTGATCACACCAGATGAATCTACTTGGTACTTCAACTATTAAAAGCATATAGGGATAACAAATGAGAATTTGAATTTTGATGTTAGGGTTTCAAGGGTTAAATAGCTTTCAAAGCAAATACTAAAATTACGCACCCCATATTTAGCATGTTCACCTTCCAGGTCATCATCCATGGAGAAAGTAAATGCTTGAATTACATCAGCCCCTGCCCGTAGAAATTCTCGGTGAACCTGTCGAACTGAGGAAGTGAAAAGACCTTTTAAAACATTATTTTTTTGCTTTGCCTGAGGTTTCTTTTATGCACCACCTTCCACACTAGCCCGGGGGTACTCCCGCGAATTTTGGATAGGGGTGTGCCGCGAAGGTTTGTGAACCCTAACCCTATTTAAGGACAAAGAAAGCGAAAACTGATACCCTTTTTAAGGCCCAAAGCCGAAAAATGACACCCTATTCAAGGAAAAATTAATAATGTGGCTTGAAGAGGCATTACGTGTATTTACCCGCTTAACGGCTAGTAAACCTCTGTTACAAAATCATTTTGTTAATACTTAAACGGATACATTTAGTTTAAAAAAAAACCCTTTCGTTTAGACGAGCGTTTTCACACTCTAGTATTAGATAATACAATTAAGCTACCCTATCTAAGGACCACACCAGGGACAAAGAAACAAAAGGGTCAAAAAAGATACCCTATTTAAGGACCGAGAACCTCAAAAACCATACCCTATTCCGTGGCACGTACCTATATAGCCCATATAGGTCATGAGTGCAGGTTACTGTTTTACTGATTGGTAAAAATAAGTTGAAATGTTCCTCCCTTGGTCTAAAACTCATTTTAGATGGTGATTAGGACTAGGAGACACTTTCAGTCCTCTTAATTTATCTTTACCATAGTGACCTGCACTGTGACCAGCGGGAATAAAACCTGATCTTATTCCTTCATGTTCTACTGCAGGCCCCGGTTGTTCAAACCTTTGATAACACTTAATCCACAGGATAAATTTTATGCACTGGATAGCATGATGCAGAAGATAAATAAAATCATCCTGTTTTACAAACCTGCTTCAGGGTGTTCCACTGTACACTCGGGCGTCCAAGGTCCTGCTTTTACATATCCACGCCTCTCCAAAGCATGCGCCATTCCACCATCCCCCACTATGACCTCACCAGCATTAAGCCGTTCCAGTATACCAAGCTAAAACAGGTTGAAGAAACAAACAAACAAACCGTGAATACAGCTGCCTCTTATCACTCAGCAAGAACGCAGAAGAAATTTGAGAGAGAGCTGTGTTTGGAATCCTCCCATGCAGAGGGTCTGAGGTCTTACATTCATTTCTCTGGGCCAAGTTGTTTGAAGGCCGATTAGCGCTTAACCCAGGGTTAAATTTAACCCAGGTCTCTTTTTCTTGTGTTCAAAAGCATTTTCTAGGATAATTTTCTCTGTTATTTTTAAAGCTTTCAATAATCAACTTGCAGACAAAAAGAATTAAAACTGAAATGGTTTTTAAGCTTTCATATCTGAGTTCAAATCTCGCACTAACCCTGGGTTATCTTAACCCAGCTTTGAACAACTCGGCCCCGGTTGGTAGGTATCAACAAACAGAAGTGGCTGTTCATTTCAGCATACGTTCATGAACGAGAAATGCATGACAAGCCCTAAGAACGTCTGCATGGGAGGCTACTGTGTTTGCAGGCTAGACAGTCAGAAGCAGGGAATTTAAATGCTTATAGAACTGTTTCAGCCCAGGAGCACTATCATTATTTTTTGTCAATTTTGTTGTCTCCAAAGACAGGTATGGACACCCTGGGATTGAGGGCACTCCCTTAATTAACCTAAACAGGTATGTACTACCCACCCCTCCCCTTTCCCCTCAATATCTACTTCCTCTACTGTGCGCCTATAAATAAGTACAAGCTTTTACTTCACGAAAACTGGTACAATTCTCCAACTGTTGGCAATGCTGTGTTAACTAAGGGGACACTTCATGTGAGAACACATGTAGAAAAGTTCTCTAAGAGTCCACCCTCACAACAAGACCACTTGAGGCAATTCCAGGAATCCCTGTCTCCTACCCCTGCGACTTCTCCTTTGGACTACCTAGGGGAATGGTCAGTGGCGATCCAGACCTTCAGATAAGGGGGGGGGGAGGGTCGGTCATCCAGACCCTGAGATGATGGGGGGCCCCATGTTAAAAAAAATTTTTTTTAGGCCTGTGAGGCCTCAGCTTGGTCTAAAAATAAGGGGCGGCGGGGCCTCCTCCGGATCCGCCACTGATGGGAACAGGTTAAATGGTCAATGCATATTGAGGCCTTGTTAAGGTAAAATTCTGACATGTGACATGTCCTTGAAGTAGCAACATAAGACAATGAAATGGCGACAAACAGCACAAAGATGGGTTGTAACTGGACAGTGATGAAGACAAGCGCAAAAACAATAGTAAAATGTCAATGGGACATTGATTTCTTCTCAATACATGAAACAACGGGTTTTGAAATTCAGACCAGGGAAATACCCACCCAATTTAAATAACCTGAGAGGGCTTCATAATACAGTACACAAGATGGCGGGATGACCTCTTAGCATGACGTTACTCTAAAATGTTCTCTACAAAGATGGGATCATCTAGCCATGCCAGTGGAACGTATCAGTGTGAATTAAACTGCACAAAAGTGATAAAAAAGTGACGTGGTGACTCTGGCTACTGAATATTTCATACTGTACGTATGCAAGCCAACAGACTGAGTACATCACCCTGCCTTTAAATAGCTCAGGCCCGGCCAGGGGTTTTGGGTATACGGTATCCCGGGCCATTTTAATTCAGGTATATGGTATTTTTTGGTCAAAATTCGGGTATAAAGTATTCAGTTTTTCCTGAATTTTAGGTATTCGGTATATGGTACAGAAATCACTGAGAAATGTATAATTCATTTCTCAGTTTTATTATCGCTCTAATGCTCACTAGAAATAGTGCGGATGCTCGAAATTGTGTTCAAGCCCTAATCAAATACTTACAAAACCTGTGGCTCTTTCTGTCAGCCGTTAATCTGACTGGGTCAACCACAAGGTTAAGTTTTGATGAGACAATTACCCGCGTCCAGCATTACTACGCTTTTCACGAAGAAGCCTCGTTGAGAGTTCACGGTATCAAGGGCTCAACTTCCCAGACCCAAGGACCAGACTGAACACTATCTGCTACTACACTGAACTCCGTGAAGATGATACTGGAAGGCCTCACTAGACTGAGGACAAAGGTGATGGGACTCAATCCAAACTTCATTCTTAGACGTTGTAAGCCTTTTAACTCTCTTTGTTGAAAACTTCTTTTCCAGTATGAGAGGAGGTATTTAAACACGGACACTCCCATGATGCTCGACATTTGCTTGCGTTTTCCCCGATGTATTAACGAATTATTAAAACGTGTCACAGGTACGAGCTAGAGGTACTTTACAAATCCAGTGGCCTCGTACTACCTTCAGCCTACTTTAGGTGATGTTGATATAAACTTGTGCGACCTTGCGAAATTACCGAAGCCTTTGTCTGGTTGCTTATCCAAGAAGCAATTGGATGAGATCCGTCAGTGGGTACAGCAGTACGGTAAGAGTGTCGGACAGAATACCACGAGGAACTTTTCAACAAAAGACAAGCCAGGCACCTTGCCATTGAACCTGTACGAGTCTGCACCCCCGGAGCAACCTTCAGTTGACTTTGACGTGCTTCACAATGAAGACATCCCCGTTCATCACCAAGATACCAACACAGCTCGTAACATTGTCATCGCCCAGTCTACGTATGTTGTAGTTTCCCGAATATACAAACCTAGTTCCGCTCTAAACAGCCCACTGTATCTTACAAAACTATTAAAGGATGTGGTTGATGACTATGACAGTGCTCGTTATGAAACAACTCTCTTTTACACCCAAGATGTTGTCGATCCTCTGCTATTCACTACTTCGGGAGAAGAGCATGTCATCCCAAAAGAGGGCATAAAGGGGGTTGTAAGTAGCATTACAGTTGTTGACAATGAAACTGTTGAAATAGATGAGGAGGAGTATTATCTGCTCCTGGCCTTGGTGAACGGATCCACTGACACCACCTATCTCAATCAAGCTGATGAAGAACCCTTTGCAGAGAGCGTTGACGTTCAAGGTGACGAGGATCCGATCACCATGGATGCTGGCCGACCGCAAAGGAAGCGGAAGAGGACAGTGAACTAGGAGTTTCTCTTTTATTAAGATCTAATTTGTTCATTTTCAGGTATTTAGTATTCTGTTTCAAAATAATTTTAGGTATTTAGTATCAAACATTTTACGATTTTGAGGTATATTGGTATCTTGGGGGCAAAATAGCGGGTATATTGGTATCCCACTACCCCCCCTGGCCGGGCCTGATAGCTGCTTACCGTATGCCCTTCTTAATATTGCACAGCTGCAGCTTGCAACGGCTACATGCTTGCATTATCAATAATATAATTATTTTAAATCCATGTACTAACCTTCTTGGCATTTGCCATGGCAAAGATCGGTTAGCTTTCAGCGATTTGCAACCTCGGTACGGTCGTTTGGAAGACAGGGTAGGACTGGATCGAGTTTGGAAAGAATGATTACATAGGAACTGCTGGACTAGGAACTCAGGAGCAGGTCATGGCGACGTGACTACGGATCGGCTCCTGCTACGAGGACATGTACCCACGAATGACATAACCGTTTCATGAAAAAATCCTGTTGTGGGAACAAAAAGTTGCCGCGTAACATGCTAAAAATTTAGTTGGCTGAAATTTTTGGAACATGGAAAGGGAAAATGATCTACCCTTACCTACCTTTAAAATGATACTGTGTTTATTAAGCGTTCTCTTTCATTTTGTTACTCATGGAAGCCATTTGCATGATACATAACGTCTATAACTAATGGAATAAAAAAAGATTAAACGTTCCTACAACATATATAGGTGGCAGAGCAGTGGGGGGGGGGGCAACAAAATTTGGGGGGAGGCACAGCCCCCGACGTTTTGGTGACGAAAATATCGCTAACGCAGCATAGAAATTGGAAAAATATTCCACTGCTCTTTTCCGGACAGCTTAACTGAGGTTCAACGCATAGCTAATACGTTTAAGTCTTCGATCTTAAATATCTACGGCTCCTAAAATAATGTTACCTGATACTACAGAAGAGCTATTTAGGGGGGGGGGGAGAAAATTTGCTGATTGCTTATATCCTCTTTAGCTGATATGGTGAGCGCACAGTAGCCTGCATAACAATTATCTTCTCAAAGGTCTGAGATATAAATACAGTGTAGCTTAATGGAGCTAACATTTACTGTTTCTGGACGAAGCCTGTTCCATACACGCAAAGCTCGCCTTAAAGAAGAACATCTTGAAGCGAGGATTTGTGACGTCATCAGTTGTACAAAAATGAAATTTGAGAATTCAAATAAGACAAGTTCTTCACTTTTGTATGCTCTGTATTTCTACAAAGTATTACAGTTTCAGGTTACATACATTTGAAGGAGAAACGCAAAGCTAGCATTAAAATGGAATATCTTGAAGCGAGGATTTGTGGCGCCATCAGTTGCGACGTCACAAAAACGAAATTTGAGAATTCAAATATGACAAGTTCTTCAATTTCATATGCACTGTATTTCTGCAAAGTATCACAGTTTCAGGTTACATACTTTTCAAGGAGAAACTTTTGGGAGTTTTCATTTAATTTAGGGCTGAAGAAAGACATGCAGCACACAAGATTGTTGGTATGCTAATGTCAACAGCATTCAGAGTATTGTTTCTGGTATTCTAAATAAAGCAAAGCTAGCACGGCTAACAAAGCCTCTATCGTTTGGACAGCAAGTTCCAAACAAGATCCTGAACATATATTGTCACCCGGATCTAGTAAACCGTTCACAGTTGTGCTTTACAAAATGTGTACCCTGGCTCCAAAGGTCCGTTCTCGAAATACCTAAGTTGAAATGAACCTTAAACCTAGCTATGAATTGATCAAAGTCGCTTCTTTAACACAATTAAAATCGCGCAACGGCATGATAAAGACCTAGCTTTTTTCGTTTTTTAATTTTAAAAATACTCTAAGATAACTTTTTTGAACATGGTTTTGTCATCACTGTGATTTTCCAGCTCCTCCAGGACCACTAAAAGAAGGACAAAACGGACGGCCGCTGGCTGGTTTTAGATTCTCCCAGTAGGCTCGGTTAGCTCTGAAATAAAACCAAACATATAATGTGTCAGAGGAGTGGGTCACAATGGTAAATGATTGACCACAGTCAAACGAGAGAAATTGCAAAATCCACAAAAATCTTTAAAGCTAAGGTTATTATTTTAAAAATTAACACCGTATTCGTAATATATTAAACAGTTCAATGTATTTCAAGTGAGGATAAGACTTTATCCTCTCTTGTGTATCAGTAATAGTGTTTTTAAGCCATATTTATCAAAATGTTTGAATATTTTTCTACATGCACCAGTGTTTCCTTCCGCAAATGTCTGAAAACTAGAACTGCAAAATTGTCCGTGCCACCTCTGTGCCATTTCATGCCATTTGCTCAAGAAAAAAGACGCTTATCATTTGAGTAAAATTAAGAATTTGTGACATTAAACTTCTATTTTAAACATCCTTGCTTGTGTTTCCACTCCGCAGCAAAAGAAATCTCGGTATGAGATAGAAAGAAAAACACTTTAGACTTTTGACACTTAAGAACGCGGTTAAAGTAAATGGCGGCCTTTAACTTTCCCCAGTGCCCTATCAGATGTACCTTTCTCGGATTTCAGCTACCGCGTGATGTTTAAGTGCTTCTCCCCAGGGACTGTGCTTGTCACTAGCGGCAGGTAACCTGCCTCGTTCTGGAGCAAGCTGAAGGAGAACCAAGACACAAAACTCACGGAATAACATTTGAGGTAACATGTGTCTCACAAGTCACTCTAACAGTTATTTGGAAATAATTTATAAAGAGCCCAAGTGAAGGCTACAACCAGTTGCAAAAGTACTTGAGACACTGTACCGTATTTTGGCGTAAACGGCCTGTCCATGATCTTGTGCTTGTGATGTTCCTCTTCCCCTTATGGAGGAACAACTTTGAATGGGAGGGAGGAGGGAGGTCAGTATTATATCTCACAGACCTGTAACCAACAGCGATTTGAAGCAAAAAAGGTCGTTTTTTCGTGGGAGTGTCTCAACATTTTTGCAACTGGTTGTAGCAACTAGTGTAAAGTTCCACGCCTTCAAATTACGAGGGAGGTGCAAAGAGATGTATTGCAGTGATGGGTATACCTTTTGCAGGAGCCCCCCCCCTTCTCCTATGTAGATGTAAATGTGTGCGCGTAGGGGGAAACAGCGAGACTTCGCACCACACTCCATCACCTAAACGGCTGTCTTCCTGCGTAAGGATTGGACATAATTCTTTTTGACCGAGGTTTCTTTTCGGCATGGCTTTAAGCATTCACGAACGACAAAAAGTCATGCAAGAGAGAAACTTCTGCTCACAAGGTAGACATAAATCACTTTAAAGGAACCAACCTCTTCTGCGATAGCCCGGATGTGGTATGGTTCAAATCCACAACATCCGCCAATATACCTGACTCCTAAATCATAGGCCTGTCGAGCGTACTTATGCACATCCCAGCGAGTTAGTGTTCGTGGCTCCAGAGCTAAAGGAAAGCGAATAAAAACTTGCTCGGCACAGCATGACTATACGAGAACAAAAACTATGGAAATATCTTTAAATGCTCCAATCAAATGGTAGATAAAGCTATATCCACCGGATAAATCTCTACCCCACGGATAACGAAATTGGTTTCCCTAAAAGTTATCTGCTGGAGAGTAATTTATTCGGCGGATAGCGCTATCCAACGTTTGAACAACCAGGGTATGGAGCTTAAAGGTCTTAAGACGATCGATGGCTCGACTTCTGATTGGCTCAGTCTCACATCTGGACCTCGATCCCTCGTTAAGTACTGGTTTAGTGTTCAAATGCACGAAGTGTTGTTTAGTTTTGTTTATGCATTAACATCAGCGAAGTTCCTGTTCTTTTCAATGTATCGTATAGTTCTGAAAGTAGCAGGCCCACGAAAGAACCCGATCAAAGGATTACAACAGGCACCAAAACGAAAAGCTTATTCAAGGATGGAGTAGCTCGAAAACCGCACCCTATCCTGTGGCACCTGCATATAACTATAACATGGAATTATCTCACCGGGGTGAATGTAGCCTGTCGGAAAATTAAACCCTACATAAAACGCCAGGGGGGTGAGATGAACTGCAGCCAAATTAGCGGGACAAACTGTTTAACCCACCGAATTCCAACTCCGGTAAATCAATGAACCCTCTGAATCCACCATCCGGAGCATGATAACCGATTGTTTGCATCATCAGGTAAGGTTTGAGTCCTTCCTTGTCCAACGCATCTCTCATCAGTCTTATCCCCTGTAGAGCCTCGTCCGGACCAAAGCGGCAGTTGATTCCAATTAAGTCAGCTCCTGTTTGTATAAGATAAGGTTAGTTTTCACTGGCGACGGAGTCAGAGTCGGAATCGTCATGAGAAGTCGCAAGCGCGCTTATGACCAAGTGAAAATCAAAAAAAGGAGTCGTAAGCAGAGTCATAAGCGCGGCGGAATCGGAGTCGGAAAAATGAGAACGTTTTTATTTTCTTCTGACTCCGCTTATGATTCCGTCGCTTACGATCTAGTGAAAACCAGATTGTCGGTGTCGGAAGCAGAAGTAGAAGCAAATGGAAAAACCAATCACAATGCTCATCCCACGCTTTGTGATTGGTTTAGTTCTTCTGCTTCTGCTTGCGATTTCGACAACCTTCATTTTATCGTAAGCGACCGAGTCGTAAGCGGAATCAGAACGCTGTTTTCACTAGAAGGAAAAGTTCCCGGCTCCGACTCCGACTCCGTCGCTAGTGAAAACCAGCCTATAGAAAGAAAAGCATACATAAGAATTCAAGTTTGGGAAAAACCGAAGTATCCGATACTCCACTGACTTCAAGGAGGGTTGAGAGATAGGAGACGGCTGTAATTGCAAGCTAAAAATCACCTTATAACTAATATTTTCGTTGCCGTCGCTGTCGTCGTTACTGAAGCTTCACATTGAACCAGAAAAAAACCGCGGACATTTCGCTACACCACTGGTTTCCCCGCGAAATGACGTCTTAAAAACGAGCGCAGAAATTCCATACTGATGACGCGTCACTACCCAGATCTGGGGTAGTGCTTCTGATTGGTTGAAAATTTGCTTCATCCAGTTAAAAACATTACCAGATATCTGGGTAGTGACGCGCCATCAGTATGGAATTTCTGCCCTCGTTTCTCAGACGTCATCTCGCGGGGAAACCAGTTGTACAGTGACGTCACAAAATGTCGGCTGTTTTCTCACGATCAGGCTACTTAATATTAAGATACCTAATGGCTGCAAATGGCGTTGCCAGTAGACGAGAAAGTAGGCTGATTTAGCAACAGAACGGGAACGTCAGTTGACAACGGCGCGCGCAAATCAAACAACTGGCTTGACCTTCAGGGCGGAAAAACGTTCTGCGCAAGCTTCTGCGCATCTCTTATCGCAGGCTCAAGGCGGGCTTTTCTGTGTGTTGACTGTGTTTGTTTGTTTCTGGAGTTCTGAGTGAAATGCACGAGGTGGGAACGTTTGCTCCCTGTGAAGCATTTTTATTTGACATGTTTGCTTTTTTTGTCGTCGCTTGAAAATTACTTTGGATTCAGAACAACCAATGTTAAAGGGAAAACGGATCATTCCGTCAGTCTGAGGTGGAATAAAAGGTTTTGAACATTTCTTAAGAGGCGAGTATTTTTCTGATTGTGCATCCGATTAATTTATGAGTTGATTTCGCCGGACTGAATTAAAACCCGCTTGTATTCTGTTATTAGTAGTTACGGTTGCTTTTTTTACATGCCCAGATTTATTACCTTTGCAGAACCAGCTTTATCTTTGTCTTCAGTCAAAGAACCATATTGCTGTTATAACGCATCAGAATGAACAAACTTGTGCGCTTATTAAACTTTCTCGGAAATAGAAGGCCAGCAAGCTTACTCAAGATCATTTTTCTGTTGCTCAAGTAATAACAGTCAGAGTTTTTTTCATTTTTCATTACACAGTTTTGTTTTCCAGTGCACTGTGAGAGTTTCTGTTCTTTATAAGAATAACTTTCTGTACGCAAATTGTCCTTTTCACTCGCTGTGAAGTAGAGAACGACAACTGCTGGCAGTGACTGCAAAACAACTGACTCTTTTCCCGTAAACAATTGCTGCAGCTTGATTTGACTGAGGCGAGCAAAACAAACCCTTATGTGCAATTTTCTCTTTTTTCTAATGATCGGCTGAGATTAATTTGCTTTAACGAAGACCTTCGCATGGACCCTGAGTAGGCTTATTGAAAATAGCTAAATGGTGAATCATGGCTTGCAGGCTGCCAAGTTGCAACTGATCTTTTGCTTTTAAGATCTTTAGGTAGGTTGTTTTCGCACAGAAAATTCATTTCTTCATTGTCAGCAAGACGTTTTTGAAATAAGGTAACTTTAACTTTGTTTGAAGGAAATCCTACTGACGCGTAGGTTTTTGACAGATGTTATGCGTGTTCAACTTGACAACACAAGGCAAAATTTATATATCTGCGCAACGAGCAAGTTTAAAAAACTGTAGTTGCTTTGAAATCGATTTTTGGGAAGATTTTTCTAGATAAAGATTGACCTTTTTTCTGCCCACATGTCAACTCAATAACTTCTACATTGAGGATTTTGTTTATGTTTTAGTGATCTGCGAAACTGCGTGTCAGATCGAGAGAGGGATTGAAAATATCACCTCGAGTGCGACAAAGTTCAGTGACTTCAAACACATTGTGGGCAAGCATTAATTGTTTTGGGCAAATCACTGTCCAAAGATATATTGTTTTTGTGTCCACAGTGAAGCTCCGGAGCTTATATATCCAGAAACTTCCTTATATGAACACTTTTTGTGAATGCATCTCGAAAAAAATCGGAGCTACGCATGCACATTTCCAGTACAACGCAAGGAAATTAATGTCGTTAAACTCCGTTTTACTATGAGGTATTCTTCGAGAAAATTAAGTAACGACAAGGTTATAACCACAGCTTGCAACTTTTAAAGACAAATTGCCTGTTCTTTCCAGATTATGAGTGAAAACATTTTATTTTTAGGCAATAAAATATTTGAAATCCCGCCATTTTTTCAAACCCGGCCCGGGGATCTGGGCAAAAAAGTTCACGCATGCTCATTACGTTTTTCCGCCCTGAAGGCTTGACCAACGGCAGAGAGGCAAATTGGGCACCGGAAGTCGTGTTTAGTCCTTTCTGCGCGCTCTCCCGGCGCCAATTGACGTTCCCGCCTTGTTGCTAAATCAGCCTAGTATATGAACCATGAAGCACCAAACAATCCACATTACCTTTCCTTGCCAGTCTCACCGCGCATTCTCCTGGAGGTACACTGTTGGCATCCCCAGGAGGTCCAATACACATTGTGATGGCAGTTGGTTTCCCTGTGGACTTCATCACTTCCACTACCCACTCAGCTTCTTCTACAAACTCAAAATACTGTCGGGGGAAGGGTACGTAAAGTTCAGCCTGCGTGCAAGTCCCCATTTCCCTTCACACAGGCTAAGTAGTGTGCAAGTCATTTACATTTTTAATTTTAACATTAAAATTCTTCCAGAAGATGTAACGTATTTGAGATGAGATGTATTTAATATTTTGCAATGATTTGTCGCTTTAGTAGACCCTCTGAGTAGAGCTTGGGTTGTTTGGAAGGATGGTGATTATGATTACCCTGGGTGCCAGAGACTTTTCTAGCGCGGTTTCCGGTTTCTGTCAAGTCTTTTAATGAACTCGCGCCTACGGCCAAAGATGTGTCGGCCTTCGGCCAACACCGAAAATTCCCGCCGTACGCGGGAAAAACCTCTGGTACCCAGGGTAGATTATGATGGGTTCCAGTGAAGAAATTTTCTGGGGTGGGAAAAGCGCTAAAATTCAGCTGTATTCTGCCATAAACATAAAAAGCCTGGTACTGTTCAGATTTGCAAAACTTCACAAACACAATGTAAAACTACCAAAAACCCTTTATTAACTCCCGGGAGCTGAATATTATGATTTTAGACTTGTTTGAGGGAGGGATAATAGAAACGAGGGGGCTTATCGGAGAGGGGGAGTTTATTTAATTTAGTGAAGATGGTGGTATCAGTCTTCCATAAAGACCTAGAATGCAAAGTGGAAATTAAGCTCAAGTACAAGAAGTTGAAGGTCATGCAGTGAGGATCAAAAACAAATCCAACCTTCCAACATGTTAATAAACAATCCCGGATCAGTCCAAATGAAGTTTTACAGTCGTGATTGATTAATACAGTCTATCATTTATTAGTGAAGAATAATAAGGGGGAGGAGACGGGGGGCTTAAAAGAGAGGAGGGGTTTATTAACTTTCTTCGCCTGAAAAGAGGGGGGGGGACTTATTTGAGAGAGCGGGCTTAATAGAGGATTTACCGTAGGCATGATTGCAAAAAGAAAGTGTGGATGAGCCTTAATTAAACAGATACCAGTTGCCTGCCATCAGAGAAGCCTTGAAAAAATTGTGCAGCTAAATTAAGTGGCATTGAAACAAAGAAAAGTTTGTTGAGTGGCACAATTAGGAATTATGCACCCTTCTGACACAATGATAATTTACATCTCTAATTGTCTCAGAAAATTCACAAAACTGATGTGTAAACTTGAAAACTCTAGTCAAATTTTCAAGAATACTGGGTGATCGCATGATGCATGATAGAAGCACTGGCTGTCTGCACAATATTTACCTCAGCAATGAGTAAGTCGACATTGTTTCGAAGGAAAATTTCAATCTGCTCTTTAAACTTCTCCTGGACAACTTTTTTCCCTGCTCCACTTGAATACAGTGAAGCAGTCTGACAGATTGATCCAGCAAAAAGTGCCCCTCCCTCCTGGGCCACGCCCTTGGCCAGGTCACATGCTGCCTGGTTTATTTTGGTGGTCTGAAACAATATTTCAAAACAATACTTTTAAAGACTGTTTTTTAGGGGGAGGGGAGGGAATCCAAATCCTCATTTTACAATTATGTTTCATGGGGAAAATCAAAAAACAAAGTTTAGAACTAAGGCCCAGTACATTAGATCAAACCTGATGTTTTGGGCCGGTACCCCTCTTAAGGAGCCCCAGTAAGACAGTGGCCCCTAAAAAATTTAATGATAAAATAATACCAACCCCATGTTTAGCATGTTCACCTCCCAAATCATCATCCAAAGTAAATGTAAATGCTTGAATAACATCAGATCCTGCACGCAAAAATTCCCGGTGTAGCTGCCGAACTAAAGAAAATATAAATCAATACAAAGTACAGTGGAACCTGGTGATAACATGACCACTTTTGGGCCAATAAGGAGGTGGTCAAAGGAAGCAGGCCCTCAAAATAATAAAACATGTTTTTTTATAATTTACATTTGGTTCAAAAGAATGTGGTCATAATAACAAGGTGGTTGTATAAATGGGTTGGTCATAAGGTGAAACCATTGTAGATGCAAAAATGTGTACCCACAGTGGCAGATCCAGACCTTCCGATAAGGGGTGGCCCAGTCATGCAGACCCTGAGATAAGGGAGGGGGGGACTGTCTAAGAAAAATTAGGGGGGAACTGGGCCCCCCGAACCCCTCCCCTACTGATCTGCCACTGGACCAGACGTGTAAGTGGTATATATATGAGCATCAACTTGTCTCTTCCCATTAGTTCTCCAAGCCATGGCTCTCCTGCCCTTAACTAAGGTCAGACGGCAGTGGCAGATGCAGACCTTGAGGTAGGCAGGGAGGGGAGTCCTCATCGAGATTAGCACATAAAGAGGACCCACTCTGTAAAAGATTTTTCTTGGTTGAATTCGCCTGGGTTTGGTCTAAAAACAAGTCTGCCACTGATTGGGGAACTACCCTTAAATGTGGTATGGGTAAATGTGCCCTGGGATAGTGTCCCTTTCTTAACTTTATGGGAATATGATGGGTTTCAAATTTTGACCTTTCATTAGTCTGTGGTAGGGTCACGTCATTTAAAATTATGGGCCATGTTAAATTAACTAAGTCTTAATTCAATGAGTATGTCATTTTTTTTCTTTGTGAGCCAAATTATGACCCAAATTTAACCAATGATGGCAATTTTAATAAACTTGCTGCTTATAGTTTTTGAACAAGGAAATTGTGCCATTTTCTCACCAGCCTCAGGGTGTTCCACTGTACACTCGGGAGTCCAAGGTCCTGCTTTCACATAACCTCGTTTCTCCAGAGCATGGCACATTCCGCCATCCCCTACTATCACTTCTCCAGCATTAAGTCGTTCTAGTATACCATGCTGTAACATTGTTTGAATATTACATTTTAAAACAAGAAAAAAGTTGATTATGATAATGAATTGAATCCTTTTCTATCTGAAAATAAATTTTTGCAGCGGCCCATTTTTTTCTTGCACCACGTCAGTGGCAGATCCAGACCTTCAGATAAGGGGGGGTGGACATCCAGACCCTGAGATAAGGGGGGGCAGTCTCAAAAAAAATTTTTTTTCAGCCCTTTGGGCCTCAGTTTAGTCTAAAAATAAGGTGGGGGGGGGGGGCCCAGGCCCTTCCCCTGGATCCGCTACTGCACATATCTATCACTTAAGCACCCACAGGGACCATTCCATTTTTATCAACACCCTCACACTTTACCTCCCCCCTCCCACCCACGGCTGTGTCAGGTGAAGAAAATAAAAGAAAAGAAAGTGTACGTGTTTATTTCTTCATATATTTCAGGTGGAAAGAGGTACCCCCACATGGTGCCAGCCAATGCCTGCCGTCCATTTTGGCCTGTAATGTTCCATTTCCTTTGGTCTAAATCGCGTCACATTGTTCTAAATTCTCTAAATTAGATTATAGTGAGACGCGAGTGACTGCATTTTCACAGTCAAGTGCTCTACATGTGCCGAATGCCTAAGTCACGCGATGCGCGTGTGGAAAACGTTGGAATACAAAACCGGGAAAAGAGATATACTGTTAGCAGCCATGCTAGATGTGTGTCGAAAGATTCGAAAACTGTATTGAGAAAGAGAGGCTCTAGCTGTTAGCTCAAAAATTATTCTTAAGCTTTTCTGCATTAAGGGGAGGTTGGTTTTGGGATAGTCACGCTATGCGCGTGTTGAAACAGGCTTTAGACGTCGGAGGCTCTTTTGTGAAAGATAGAAACTGTCAGCTCTATGATTGTTTAAATTCCTCTCTCTTCCTTTAAATGCACGCTAATTTCAAAGAAAACAAAAGTAAGGTCAGTTAAACGATCTATGTAGCTAAACATTTCACGATACAAGCATTTTGTGACATGTTTTCCACCCATCTTAAAATGACCCTTACAAACACTGCATGTTTGCATCATCAGTAATGCAATTTTGGAGTCCTTCCACTAACCTTTTTTTCATTTGCCATTGCAAAGATCTGTTAGCTTCCAGCGCTGATTGTACCTGCGCGATTCTGGACTGACTGATGATCTTGGATGATCTTGCAGAATGCAGTGGCAGGGTAGGACTGGATCGAGTCGGGACTGTTGGGTGGAAAGATTGTTTTGGAACTAGCAATTCCTTAGGACTGCAGGATTTGGGAGCGGTTATGGTGCGTAAAACAGGGGCATGTACCCTCTCCTGCCCTTGTATGACGGACTATGAAGTAAGCTTTTAATATATATGAAAAAATCCTGTGGCAGGAACAAAATTCAGGGGCACCCAACGTCAATTTTCGGAAAATATCTGTTCGAAAGCCGATTTGAGATCTAGAATTTTCGGAACATTTTTTGTAAAATTTCTTGCTTGCCTACCTCTCCTAGGATTTTCGAACATCTAAAAAATGGTATAATTGCCCATTTTGAACGGATTTTTACCCTAAAAAGGTCACCTAGAATTTTCGGCAGCCTTTTTTCTGGCTGAAATTTTCGAAAAGGTAAGTTTTAATCCCTATAATTTCTAGACTTTCAGCTAGGAAATCCGAACAGATGAAAAATTTTTAGGGGATAAAAATATGCCTATATCTACCGTTTAAATACTAAAATACGTTTAACAATGCTATGTTTAAGTAGTTTTGAACTGTATTCTCCTTGGGTGCCCCTGAAAATTCTATCCTCGCAACATGATGCAAGAAATTGGTTAGCAATTTTTTCGACATAAAGGTGGAAAAATGATTAACCCGTACCGACGTAAATAAATATAAGTCTGTATGATTACGCTTCCTGGTTTAGTTTGGTTACTCGTGGAAGCTAATTGATAATGACGACCAGCCAATTGACTCAGCAAATTTCTACAGTATTTCATGTAAAACACAATACCGAGAATGATTTAATAGGCACCTGGGGCGCGTCTATTTAATTTTTGTTACACAAGTAAGGGCACCAAAATTAATAGGAGGCGTTTAAAAGAGGAAAGGCGTTTATTCTCATAACTGTAACAAACTCTATAAAACTAAAAACATGCCCCCGGTGAATATATTACCACAGTATGTATAAATAACAGACTATCCAGAATCATCAGTTATTGTGATGGAGGCAAATAAATGGTAGATAGAATCCATGGATACGGCCGTGAATAGATAGATCTATAGCGTCAGGCTCATGATAGCGTGTGAAGCTAAACTTCGATGTCAGAACTCTTACTTTGAAATTGATATTGAACAAAATCCACCGCACCAGGAAGAAAGCTGTTTATTTAGACAATTTTTCTGCCATCAACAGCGCTTAACCCGGAAAATGAGGAGCCGCGGACAAAATTTGTCCCAGAAATAAATTGGACAAAATCGACTAAGAAAACGAAAATGTGTGTTCCTTGTCAGTCATCTGTTGCAAAGTCATTATTTTTCCATTAAGTAATGAAAAATATTAAGGCCTATTACAAGTGAATAAATTTCAAAACAAAAATTGTCACCATAAAACTTACAAAGACAATCCCAAATTTGTCTGCTAGTGCAGATCGGCCCTTTAAAACATTTTAAAATTTGGTTGGAATTTGCACGAGTCGCTTCATTCTCAGAATTACTAAAAAACGAGAAATGTCATAAAAAAGAACCAGCTATTCTTGCTTGTATAAATTTGAAACTACAAAAAATAACTTAAACAGAAATATTTTTTAACATGATAAAAAATAAAAAATTTTACTCCTTACATTTAAAGTTTTGCACGATATAGCACCTGATTATTTGCGGCAGTTGATATCTGTCCTGCCTCCGTCTAAGTACGATTTAAGGCGCAATAATGACTCTGGTATTTAACTAGCATCACCAAAAGTCAGAACTAAGATCACCTTAGGGGATAGGTCGTTTACTTGTGCCCCCCCTCCCCCACCACCAGACTTTGGAACCTTCTTCCAATGCGGTCTATTTCCAGTATAAATCTGTTTAAAAATAGACTTAAAACTTTCTTATTTAGTAAGGCTTCTAGTTAGGAATTTTAGCATTGTAAATTTAGGTTCTATTTTCCATCTTTCATTAATTTCTTATGTAAGGCGCAGTTGAATATTTTCATAGAAACTGCGCGGTACAAATTTCTATTAATAATAATGATCCTGCCATCACTGTTATTAGAAAGCTTCAGATTTGAGGACGAGGACCACTACGAGTACGAGATTTAATTTAAAAGTTTTTCGTGTATTCTTGAAAAATATTTAATCTGGAAAGCTTCATTCTACTATTTTTCACCCGAAAAGTTAGTGCGGTTATTTTTCTTGGGGAAGGTTTTGCCCTTTCCCGGTCGCAAAATGATTAAACTTCTAAAATTGGAAATTGTTCCCGCCACTACGACATTCTCGGTCAAACTCGTAGTAGAATGACGACGGCTATCACGTTTTCCCGCCAAAATGACACTTGTTCACGCGCGCGCACTACTTAGTATTGAGAAAATCTCGTACACGTAGTCGTCCTCGTCTCAGACTCTAAAAGTCTCTATTTTCTATGTCCTCCAGGACCACTAAAAGACGAGCAACAAGGACGACCGCTGGCTGGTTTTAGATTCTCCCAGTAGGCTCTATTAGCTCTGAAATAAAATCAATCACAATAATGCGTCAGAGTGATGGGTCCAAATGTTGCCTAGTCCCTGTACGGCGTCTTCCCAGGCTTTCTCGGTCAATACATTTCGGTGGCGACGTATCCGAGGCCCGAGGCGAACGACTCGCTCGGACCACGTGACCCGAAACGCATCGTCTCCGCGCAATAATAAGGCCTAGGCAAGGTCAAAATGGCAAATGGTTGACCACAGTTAAAAGTTCTTCAAAGCCGAAGTTGTAATTTCTACTGTTTTAAACCATTTAATAAATGAACACCTTATTGGCGATAAACTAAAACGGTGTTTCAAAATTAATTGCAATTTTTAGAGGTTTTTCTAAACCAGCGCTATCTTCCGCAAAGTGTCTTAAAACTGACTGGAACTGCAGAATTGTCCATGCCTGCTGCGCAAGAAAAAGGAAGGTTATTATTTGAGTAAAATGAAGAATTTTCTTTCATTAAACAACTATTCCATACATCCTTACTCAGTGGTGCTGAAGAAATCTCAGTGAATAAAACGAAAAACGGCTCAGACGTTTGAGCCGCAAAACAGTAAATGGCGGCCTTCAACTTTCCCCGGTCCCCTCTCAGATTTACCTTTCTCGGATTTCAGCGACCGCGTGATGTTTAAGTGCTTCTCCCCAGGGACTGTGCTTGTCACTAGCGGCAGGTAACCTGCCTCGTTCAGGAGCCAGCTGAAAAAGAACCAAGACACACGACTCTTGGGACAACATTTAGGGTAACAAACCTCACCGGTCACCCTCAAACTTATTTTTAATCACTTATGCAGTTCCAAAGCAAAGGTGCGCAATTCAACCTCGACTCCAGGGCCCTCTCTCTCTCTTGCTCCGGGGAATGAATACGAGAGGACCCTGGGAGGGAGGTTGGTTGCAACTGGCACTTTCTATGTGGTCTGATTATGGGATGCTGAGTTATTAATTACAAGAATTTCTGCAAGAAGTACTGATCATTTCAAGGGTATTTAAGGAGCAAGGCACGCGACTTGAAGTCAGTCTAAAAATCAACCTCCTAAAAAACTCTACAACACGTAGTTATTCGGCACCAACCTCTTCTGCGATAGCCCGGATGTGGTATGGTTCAAATCCACAACATCCGCCAATATACCTGACTCCTAAATCATAGGCCTGTCGAGCGTACTTATGCACATCCCAGCGAGTTAGTTTTCGTGGCTCCAGCGCTGAAAAGAAACAGACAAACGCTTGTTCGAAAGAATATGACAATATGACAACACAAACTGTGGAGTCAGGCCCTGATTAAAGGCGAAAAGCCCTAACGCAAAATTCTGTGAACTTTTCGTGTCGGCACGAAAAGCTTTCCGACATGGCGTGAACATAGCCTTAGTTAAGCAGGGCCTAGCTTCTGTTTTTTTTTTTTAAGTACCCTATCAAAAGAAAATAATACCAAAAGGAATACCCTATTCCAACTTCGTCCCCAGGGCGCTTTTCCCTGGGTTTGGAGGTGGCGGAAAAGCGCCCTGGGCACGAGGTTGAACCTATTCAAGGACTGGGCACTTTACATCCTCGCTCCCACGGCTTTTTCCGTAAGGAGGGAAAAACCCCTGGGAACGAGGGGTATTTAGAAAACCATACCCTATCTTGCGGCACGAATCTGTATAATTGTAATGCTCGGAACAGGAGAGTATAACATGCTCTCTTGAATAGGAAGTATTCCCTTGGATCTTGGATATAAGTACTCAGGAATGCTTTGTGAAACTATATACAAAAGGAACGAGTGGGGGGTGGGGGGGTGGGGGGGAGGGGCGAAGTGGGGGACGATTTCCCATTGCAGGTGAAGGAGACCAGCGACCACGAAATAGAAGGGGAGAAACTAAAGCTCACCGAATGGTATCTCAGGTAAATCGACGAATCCCCTGGATCCACCATCCGGTGCATGATAACAGACTGGTTGCATCATCAGGTAAGGTTTGAGTCCTTCCTTGTCCAACGCATGTTTCATCAGACTTATCGTTTGTAGGGCCTCGTCTGGAGCAAAGCGGCAGTTGATTCCAATTAAGTCAGCTCCTGTTTGTATGAAATAACAAAGAAAGGGCAAAAATCATAATTCAAGTTTGGGGTCAACCAAGGTATCTGGAGAAAAACCACGAAGGGTAACTGTAAGTTAAAGAACCAATAACAGACTTTTGGCCTCTAAGTGGTGTTGACGGGCTCCATCGCCTACTTAGCCTGTTCCAGGCGTTCAGATAGTGGGAAGCAGTGCCAAGTAAAAAGAAACGCGAAAAAATAAAAGCGAGGGAGGGGGAGAGGTGAGAGAGGGAACGTTCCCGCACCTCTCTCCCTAGTCCCCCTCTACTTTTCATCGCTTTCTTTACTTCGCACCGCTCTCCACTATCTGAATGCTTGGAACAGGCCACCGCCTACTGCTCCCCTTCAACTTACAGCTGATCATTGATCGTTGATCGCGCGCGGTGAAAACGTTATTTAAAATTGAATTCGCGCCGTTTCAAACTTCATCTACTTGACCTATGCCACACAGACTAATTGGGGTACCAGAGATTTTTTCTCGCGTGCGTCGGGGAGCTTTGTTTCGTCGACCGCAGGCCGACACGTGTTCGGCCGAAGGCCGAAGACACGAGCGGCGAAGCAACGAGGAAAAACGCACGGGTCACTTTTTAAGACTTGACCGAAACCGGAAACCGCGCATGGAAAGCCTCTGGCACCCAGGGTAAGACTAAACGACAAGTAAAGGAAAACTGCGGTCACGAGGTACAGATTGACGTTTGCCTTTTGCCGTAATCGTGATTCTAAAATATTCCAACTCGCTCAATTTGTCAAATTTTCGCGAATTCTCCTGGAATTGAATTTTTACTAAGCACTGAAACCACGTTTAGAAAGAGAAAAAAATTCTTCTTTGTGTGTTTACGTTTTCCCGTCAACTTCGCGTGAGCTTAAATCGTACATTTTCGTAAATATATACCAAAATGTGTGTAGCCTCACGCAGGCGTTCTTAGGGCCTGGTCACGCGTTCCTGCTCCCCGTACGAGAGTATTGCGTGAAGAGCCAAAAGAACGTCTGCGGGGGAGGCTAAAATGTGTGTTGCACGTGCAGAATTGTCGTTATATCTTACTAAGGCCCCTTGAAAACGCGTTTATTTTACACGAATCGGCCTTCCGTTCACATGAAACCAGTGAATTTGCGCATTTATCCGCGACGTACTCGTTGGCGTCGCCCTCACCGTCGGACTAGGTTCGCAAGTTAAGCAACGGCGACGGTGACGCAACGACAACGTCCGAAAAAGGCAACTACGGTGCACTGAACAACCCAGATTACCTTTCCTTGCCAGTCTCACTGCGCATTCTCCAGGAGGTACATTGTTGGTATCCCCAGGAGGTCCAATACACATTGTGATGGCAGTTGGTTTCCCTGTGGCCCTCATCACCTCCACTACCCACTCGGCTTCTTCCACAAACTCAAAATACTGTAGGGGAGGGAAGTACGTAGTGTTAGGTCATTTATAAGTGGAGAGGAGTACGAAGTGTTTGGTTATTTATAATTTAACATGAAAATTTTGCCGGAAATTACATGTATCATTTCTCAAATTCGATAATTTGGAATGTTAACCACAGGTGGCCCACGCCCCAAATATGGGTATGGAGAGAAAACCGGTTAAATTAAAACCCATCAAAACGGCCCTAAATCGACCCATGGACCACATTTTAAGTAAGGTAAGCTCTTTTTTTTAATGAAACCCTTTCATTTTCAGTTAGGTTACAGAAACGATAGGTTTTTCCCATAAAAATCCTTATATTTCTAATGTTAGACAACAATGCGGATGCTCATATTTCGAGCTTGGGCTACCTGTGTGTTAATTTACACTTATTCAATACATGGTATACATGCATGGTGGAAAGGGGTTGTAAAATCAAAGATGGCGGTTACAGAAGGAAATACTGAGCGTTATGGCTGTTTACACAATATTTACCTCAGCAATGAGTAAGTCGACATCGTTTTGAAGGAAAATTTCAATCTGTTCTCTAAACTTCTCCTTGACAACCTTTTGTCCTGCTCCACTTGAATACAGTGAAGCAGTCTGACAGATTGATCCAGCAAAAAGTGCCCCTCCTTCCTGGGCCACGCCCTTGGCCAGGTCACATGCTGCCTGGTTTATTTTAGTGGTCTGAAACAAAATTTTTAAAAAAGTAGGTCAAATGCTTTTTATTCTGATTCTTGAAATCGTACAAAAAAGATGAATTTTGCATTTCTTTGGGAAAAATTTTAAAACAGTGTTGTACAAAAGAACCTATCTGATCAAATGTGGATTTTTAGTATTCATGATCTGTGTGTTTTGGGGGGCTCAGTAACACAGAATAGCTATTAAAACAAGGTAATAAAATAATACCAACCCCATGTTTAGCATGTTCACCCTCCAGATCATCATCCATAGTAAATGTAAATGCTTGAATAACATCAGATCCTGCTCGCAAAAATTCCCGATGTAGCTGTCGAACTAAAGAAAATACAGTTAAAAACAAAGTATAAGGGGGCATTGAGCATCAATTTGTTTCTTCCCAATCAATTGATGTCTAAGTCATGGCTCTCCTGCCCAGGTTAACACTTTAAATTCCCAGAAGGACCAACATCAATTTTCTCTTAACAATAATTCATCCAGGAAAACAGGTTGTGAGGAGCAATTATATGATCACCAAAGGAAAAAAATGCTTTAATCTTGTATCAAATTCTCTTAACTAGTTCTTTTAGGAAATGCATGGAGCCCGGGGGGAATCCCATATGAAAAAGGTTGGGATGCTCGTCATCTCATTTAGGGGTGTAAATTTTGGATTTTGGTCTCACTTAGGGTGTTCTGGGAAAAGCGCCATTACATTTTGCCATAAATATAATACTTTTAGGGTTACACGTGAAGAAAATTAATGTAAAAACATTATATATAAATTATATTTAAAGTTAAAAAAGGTCTATGTTAGGGGTCAATAATAGGTTGGGCCATGCCCATATTGGGCTCCTTTAGGGTCTAATTCAAAATTTCTGACAAGCATCCCAGCCCCTTTCATATGGGACTCCCACCCTGGGCATGGAGGTCAGTTTGGCGAATTTTTATGTGGTTATTGGTGCTGAACGGGTTAACTTGAAGCTAGATGACAGTGACAAACACAGACCTCAAAGTAAGCAGTTGTTTGTGTTTGTGGGTGGGTGTGACAAGACAAGACAAGACAATGCTTTATTTGGAGTCTTATACAGTCCTATGTACATCGACTTTTTATCCAAGGTGTGTGTGTGTGTGTCTGTGGGGGGATGGGGGTGCTCATTCAGTCTTAGGGTTAGGTCAGATCTAGCCCCCCCCCCCCTCCTCCTTGATCTGCCACTGAGTCTGGAGTACTACTTTTTGACATAGTATAGGTGTATGTGCTCTTGGATGATATCCCATAATCTTTATGTTACAGGAGTATGATGGAATTCAGAGATGGAATTCAAATTCTGACCTTTATTCTAAGATAAGGTCACATCATTGAACAAACCATCTTATAAAAAAACTTAACTTCTTTCAAAGAGTTTTCGATTTTTATTTCTTTGATGGTCAGTGACCCGCAACAATGGTAATTTTTTTATTCCGGTGCTTAATGATGTTGGATATGTTATTTCTCACCAGCTTCAGGGTGTTCCACTGTACACTCTGGAGTCCAAGGCCCTGCTTTCACATAACCCCGTCTTTCCAGAGCGTAGGTCATTCCACCATCCCCTACTATCACTTCACCAGCACAGAGCCGCTTTAGTATACCACGCTGAAATTTAAATATTATATTTGAAAAGCAAGAAATAAACAAGGCGATCATTAAAAAAATAAACATATATCGCCGTCCTCGACTTTTCGTTTTGCCACTCTACGCATTTGCACGGAAAACAAGACTAAAAATCGTGTGCTGTGCAACTCTATATTCCGAAGCATCAATTAAAAAAAAGAGAAAGATTACAAGTTTTCGTGCACGACGTCTTCGATCTCTATTGCACAAGAATAAGGGAGCAACAAAGGTCGGCCAGCGCCTCGAGCTTCACTTCGCAACGCCGCGGTATCTTTATGATTTTCGAGGGTTTGAAAACCGATAAAAACGTAGAGAAATGTAAACTATTGGATACTCACCTTTTCTGCCTTAGACATGGTTAGAAGCCTGCACTGAAATCAATTTCACGTTCGCGTGTAGTGCTCGAAGGTGTGAGAGTGGGCAGAAAGGGGGTCGCCTTTCGGTCACGCAAAAAACATTACTACTCCCTAGTCCTCCAAACGGTAAAAATAGCAAAGAGTCTCCAGCCCTCTCAAAAAAGTGGATGAGTCATTCATCAGCTACTCTAGTCATTGCAGAACACGTCATTTCAACTGGTCACAATTTGAAATGGGAACATTTTGACATTTTAGCAAGAGGAAAATCAGATACCCATTGTCAAATCAAGGAGACTCTTCTTATTAGGGATTTAAAACCAGCCCCAAATGAAATATAAGCAGTAATTCCATGGCAGGGCGTTTATTTTGGGCAGTTCTTATCTGCTCATCTGACTTTTGAAGGACATAAAGATTACTAGCTCAACAAAGAAATACAACGGAAATAGAGTCAAACTCAAGCAGCGACGTTTTTGAGCGACGCACGTCAACCGGAAGTGAGGTATTTTCCCTCTTAACATGCCTTGATGATATAAAATTTGTATTCCTTAGCTTCTTTACTGTTATAGAGGCGATTTGATTGAAAATTTGCGCGAAACCACCGTCAAAAAATGAAAAAAGGCCACTTCCGGTTGACGTGCGTCGCTCAAAAACGTTGTGGCTTAAGCTCTCTATTAACAGGTTCATTCAACGTTGGGTCAGGCAGCCATTTTCACTTTTTCTTTCGAAATCGTCTTCTAACTAGTGTGGCACCTTCGCTCATACGCACTCCTACCTTCATCCTACCTTCACTTTTGCCTAGTCCCTAGGCCTCATTATTATGCGCGGCCGATGCGTTTCGGGTCACGTGGTCCAACCGTTCGTCTCGGATACGTCATCGAAATGCATTGACCGAGAGGGCCTGGAAAGACGCCGTACAGGGACTACACACAAAACCACGGAGGCGTATAAAGGGTAAAGGTCGTTATTTTGCGTCGCTAACTAGTGACAGTACCTCAACTGCGACGATCTTCTTTGCATTTATTTCTTCATTCCGTGGTTTCAATATATAAAGTTCATATACATTGTATTTATCATTTCATCTTAATCTTTCCCCGGTATATTACGAACCAATTGAATGAAAAGCTCCCAGTTGGCTTGCAAAGCGCTGCAACCTCGTTCCGAACGCTTTTTCTCTTAAGCGAAAAAGCCCTGGGAACGAGGCTGCACAGCAGTCGCTGAGGTCAGGGTTCCGATCCCAGGAAGACTGAATTTTTTTAGTTCTTTTCGCAACTGCATAAGTTGCATCTTGCGATGATCTTTTTTTGCATTTATTTCGTCACTCGCAGTTCCAATACATGAAATTCATATGTTCATTATTTCAATAATTTTAAAAACTGACAAACCCGAGACCGACGATGCGCTCATTGGACAACCCGCCCCCCACCCCACTACTGTCTTTCCATCCCTACTCCTTTTAGACTGTTCACAGTCCTCTATTTTAACGGTAAGAAGCTTTATATCTCGACGATCTCACGGAAAAATAGGGGACTGTGAACTATCTATACTCCTTTTTACGGGTTTCACCGCGTTTGACATAGCGCTTTAAAATCGGCCATTTGAACGATGACGTCATTCGATTATATCCTCAAGAATCCTTCAGGGCGTTACTTCTGGTGCAAACTTGTTATTTAAAACGCACTAGGATTACTAAAACTGAATAAGAAAGTAAACACGACATGAATTGTACTGGGTGTCATCAAGCGACGTCATCTTGGAAATCGGTTTCACATGACGTAACGGCGGCCATATCGCACGGTGTAGAAAACAATGAAATGGCGGCAATGACATCATGTGGGAATTGGACTCTTTTCTCCTGTAAAAACGTTCTTTAGTTCCATGAAATTTGCTGACCATGTGAGTGAAAACAATCTAACTTGGGGTCGACGTTTGTCTTGAAATTACAATGTAATTCTGGGATCTATCTCCATTAAGGACCAATTAAATTTGCTGACCATGTGAGTGAAAACGATCTAAATTGAGGTCGACGTTTGTCTTGAAATTACAATGTAATTCTGGGATCTATCTCCACTAAGGACCAATGAGCGTGCGCTTGTGCTGAGGTCTGACATCATCAGGCTGGTCCGTCAAACTTGCTCTTTGCAGAAGAATACGGGCGGCCTGTAGCAGGCTCCAGGCTCTCCCAGTAAGCTCGGTTGCCCCTGGATACAAAATCACAAACTGAACTTTATTTCTTCGCCCTTGTTACATAAAAAGACGTCAAAAGTTTGTTAACAATGAAGGCCACTGTTGAGTGTTGCCGTAAATTCGGAGTGTAAAAGACATGGCTGCCCTGCTAATGTCACTTACACAAAATGGGCAATTGCACTCTTACCGCAACCCAGTCTTTTTTCCTTTTCTTTTCTAATTGATAAAAACTGCGTGCTTTCAGAATACCAATAAACGCCGGCGTAGAAAACCGACTTACTTTGTTTTCGCGTGAAATTTGTTGTAAGAGCAATAGACAAAACTTTCTTTTGCGCTCTGTTCTCTTATCATCTCGCCTGGCTCTCTACATTACACTCATCAAGTTCGGTCTTAACGCGAAGATTATGAAAGACAAATTCACTTTCGAATGTTTGTTTATTATTAGAAGATCGACCAATGTCAACAAACTGGTGCAAGCTTCGATTAGCTATGTGCTAGTTGCGCGTTTATTTGTCGTTAATAATGCGTACCTTACTCTGCACCATTCTTTCGGATGAGCTTTTAAGCTCTCCCCCCAAGGGCTGTGTTTTTGACTTGCTTCTGGCAGAAACCCTCTTTCTGTAGCAAGCTGAAACGAAAAAAAAAATATTGCTGAAAAGATACTTCTCGTTGTTTTCAGCTTTAACTTTGCTTAGAAGAGCACACGCAGAACGTGTCTAAGTTATTTTAATACTGTAACGCGAATATTTAATTGCTGCGGAGCGACCGAAGGGAGCGAGCAGCAACATAATCAGGATTTAAAGGAAATATATAAGGGGCGACGAATTCTCGAATTCATCACTTTTTACCACAATGCATTGCATTTAACCACACTTTTTACCACAATGCATTGCATTTAACCAGAGTGCATTGCGCCACGAACAACTCAAATAAAAACACGGGGAAGTTCGGTGGGTGAGAGAGTGCATCGTTCGCTGCTCTAGTTTTCTTTGTGGCAAATTTTCTACAGCACGGTTAGAGGTCTTACCAAATTTTAAGACACGCAGGAGTCTTTCAGATGAGTACGGTGGTTAACTTGGAGATTGGATTTCAATTCAAGAGCCTTTTTTGACTCGTCCAGGTGTTAAACCTGACGAGAAGATGAGCATTTGCTCTTCGACTCCGCAACACGGGGGATATACAAATTCCAGCTTGCTAGAAGGTGATGTGAAAGTGAGAAAATGTCATGCAATGCTATTCTTAAGAAACTGTATGAGCCGAAAATGGATGTGATTTTGACCATTCGCTTCAAAATAACAGCGGAAATCGAGATAACAAAACATATGTTTTGTGTCCTACTTTGCAGACGAGGACGTGTATCGGCGATTTGAAAAGCATAATTATGTTCTTTCATTCATTTATTGCCATGGAATATGCGTTTACATTGTTTTTTCACTGCTAATAGCTCAGTTAATACGGCTGGCGATCATCTTGCCGGCGAAAGTTTCATGGAAAAGGAATAAAATGAAAGACTTTTCCTAAAGACTACGTAATCAGCCTCTGTGGTGTAGTGGTTAGGTGTAGTCGCGTGGAGTCGAATGTGCCGGGTTCGAGTTCTACTGAATTATTTACTCCTTCTTTCTTTTTTTTCCGTTTTTTGTGTTGTTGTTTTCTATAAATTTATGGATAAATAACTGTTACTTAATAAAGTGCAACAAACAGCAAGAAAAGTATTGTGTTTCCAGAGAAAATATCGTGCACCGTATATTAAATATATGGATAAACGATCTGAATTGCTATTATTTCCTACAATTTATTGTGGGAAAACTAGAGTTGATAACCACTTGATCATTTTCTAAACAATGTTCCCACGAGTTCTTTCTATAGACTGATAGTAATTATTCTGGTACTTTCCAACATGTAAATAGGACATTCAATGTCATTTTTGATTCTTTTAAGTCTCACTGCCTAACTAATGCCAGTGTCAACAGAATGTGCCGCAGCATTACTATCTTTTAGATACCCTAGTATATATATAATTAACTCGCTTCTTTTTAATTCCTTTTGTATAAAAGAATCGGAAGTGTGGAAATACGAAAAGCAATTGAAATTATGGTAATTTGGAAGCTTAGACTAGAGGAATAGAACTGTGGAAGTATAGAAGTTACAAAGTGCAAATACATGAACGTTTGGAAGTGTCAGAGTCTTAAAGTATGGAAGTGTGACGTTTGGATGCCGTGGAAGCTTGGGTTAAGGGTGAAAGCATGGAAGCTTAATTGTGTGAAAATTTGAAGAGTGGAGGCCTGGAAGTTTGGTCATATGGAGGGTCCCCCAACGTACTGTACTCTGAATGTAAACAAAACTGCCACTTTTAAAAAGTTTAATTTTTCGACTCGTTTTCTTGAACTTACCTCTTCTGCGATAGCCCTGATATGGTATGGTTCAAATCCACAACAGCCGCCAATATACCTGACTCCTAAGTCATAGGCCTGTCGGGCGTACTTCTGCACATCCCAGCGAGTCAAGGTACGAGGCTCTAGAGCTAAAATAACAAACAAAATGGGCATTAGGAGTTTCATTACCGTAAATGATCTAATACACGCCTGGAACCTTTATTTAAATTTAGGAAGCTTAAGCAACAACGACGGCTACAGCTACGAAAACGTCACTTACAGGGGCGGATCCAGGATTTTTTTTAGGAGGGGGTGCAATCGTCTCTTGCTCTACTTCAACACCAATAGACCACATAGTTTTTTTTTTGCAGAATACCAGTTGTATTAGAAAACCGCCGGTCATCTCGAGGGGGGGGGGGGCGCACCCCCTGCACCCTCCCCCTAGATCCGCCCCTGACTTAAAAAGTGAATTTGCGCTGCCTCGAACTTTATTGCGCTTATTCTATCTCGTTTAATTCGTCAAATGTTGGTGAATTGTTTTGGAGTTGAATTCTAAATGACTGTATCAAAGTTCAGGAAAAGAAGAAAGAAAGTTGTGGTCTCGGGTTTCCGTCCTCGACAAAACGTGGAATTATGCACTTTCACGTCGTAGTCGTGCAACGACGGCAAAAAAATGAACAAAAAAGCGTGATGCACGTGCAAAGCTGTTGTTTTGCTAATATAAACCTATTCCTCTTTTGCGTTCTCGTTGCTGTCGCCGCCGTCGTTGCTTAAGCTCTCTTTTATCGGTCCAAGACGGGGAGTTTAATAGTCTGCTAAACAGCCGTTTTTAGTGTCGTCACGCAATGCTCTTAGTGGGGAGGAGCGTTGCGTGACGACACTAAAAACGGCTGTGTAGCAGACTAGGAGTTTAATAGATAGGAGTGCGTTTCCAGTTCAACAACAGGCATGTCTGGGCCACCTTTCAAATCTCAACTTTTATGACAGAATGCTCATTCAGGGTCTTTTTCTTGTCATCGTTAGTCTATAGAGCGTTTTCACTCACGTGACCAGCAAAAGAGAGTGTTTACATAAGAAAAGAGATCAACTTCCACAGGATTTGGTTTGGAACACCAACATGGCCGCCGTTTGATTGTTTTTTTAACACCAATATGGCGGCCGTGACGTCATGTGAAAACGCCCTATCCTTACTTAGACTTACTTTAAACATGACATTGAAATTCGCAAACCTTTGTTAATCAAGCATATATAATTTGCTATGCTTAAAAGCGGAGCTCCTCAGCGTCAAATAAACACAAAAATTTAATTTGAAACCATTGAAAAGGAACGTGTAAAACAAATATCGTTGAGTTACTAATACGAAACTACTGGTAATACGTAAGTTGCAAGTTATATTGACCTCGCTATAAAAGAAACTTTAGCTAAATTGTTCACCACGTCAAGTAGCGCTTACCAAAAGGACACTCGGGTAAACTTTGGAACCCTGTCCTGCCTGAGTCAGGTGTATGGTATCCCACGGGTTGAATCATTAAATGACAGCTCAACCCTTCTCTCTCAAGTGCCTCCTTCATCAGACGGAGAGTTTCGAGTGAAATATATGGATCAAACTTACAGTTCAGTCCAATGATATCAGCTCCTACCAATAAAAAAAACCTCAGACTGTTGATTTGCAATGATACGCCCTATAACAAGCCTGAGAAAACAACCCACGTTCGCGCGACTTCAGCACTGGTTTTATCGTTAAATGACCTCCGAGGAACGAGCACAGAAATTCCATATTGCTCAGATCACAGGCTGTAGGATGGGATTTCCACTGCGTCATCTGTCTCTCCAAAATTGTACAAGTACAAGGTGAACCATAGTCTCTTACGAAGTTATTACTATCAAAAAATTCGGACGTTTTCTAGCCTGCGTAGCAGGCGCTTGGAAGTAGTGGGCGAAAGAAAGAACGGGCGAGCGCGAGGGAGACACGCGAGGGTCTCGCGCGCTCGTTTTTTCTTTTGCCCACTACTTGCAAGCGCCTGCGACGCAGGCTAGACTTTTTCAAAAGAAGGACACCTGGACATAGCCTGATGCGAGTTTTAGGTTATATTCACACTATACCGGATTGCCTCAGTTTTGTGAGGACCCAGAAAGCTACCCAGTTACGTATGAACACCTATCCGATATGTGACCCTCCACTTAGAAGATCGACGCAGCGCTTCGCTCCGTTACAGAAATCGCGCCAAAATCACCGTTCTTATGTGTGAACAGAAGCCTATCCGGTAGGGTTTTCGCGCCGACGCAGAAGCCAGAACGCTAGCCTGCGAGCGAGCTCTCCGGGGCGCTCTGGCGGCGGGGCGGGAAAAGGAAGGAGAGCTTGCAACTACTTCTCTGAAACTTGAATATCTGCATCGAAAAAGTCGATGCGAAATGCTGATTGGCGGAGATGACATTAGTAGTGACGTCATTACCCTTGGCACGTGCTTTCACGTGTTTTTCAATCTGTGTTTACATTCGCACTTGTTTCCGCTTCGCGCTGATTGGCGGAAATCTGACAGCTCAGTCGATGGGGAGCCACAGAGGAACTGGAGGCGGAATTTAAATTCCAGAGACATAGTTGTAAGCTCTCCTTCCTTTTCCCGCCCCGCCGCCAGCGCGCCCCGGAGAGCTTGCTCGCAGGCCTTGAATATTTAATGACGTTGCCCGCACAACGGAAACGGCTCATAAAAACGAATAATACCTGTCCTTGCAAGTCGAACTGCGCATTCCTGTGGAGGAACGTTGTTGCTGTCCCCAGCAGGACCGATAGACATTGTGATGGCAGTTGGTTTCCCTGTGGTCTTCATCACCTCTACTACCCACTCTGCTTCTTCGCAGTACTCAAAGAACTGAGAGGAGAAGGGTAAGAAGCTATAAAAACAGGTCACCGCAATACTCAAAGAACTGAGAGGAGAGGGGTGAGATGCTATAAAAACAGGTCACCGAGAAACTCCTGAGAGGAGAGGGGTGAGAAGATATAAAAACAGGTCACCGAGTAACTCCAAAATTGAAATAAAATAATAGGACCTCTTTTGGAGCCCAAAATCATTGAGACCTTTAATTGACTGTTAAAGATTCCTTGGAGAGATATATATTTAGGGTCCGTTCACTTTTTGTGGGGTGGGGGCTGGTGGGATTTGACGGGTAGCCTCCTGTAGAATATGATGACTCCCTCTTCATCAGAATTTTTTTTGGATGGCCCCCCTTGTATCCCAAAAAAATTGAGATGACCCCCCCCCCAAAAAAAAAACGAAAAAAGTAAATCGTACTGTAGTAATTATCGTAAGTGTCCTTCTTAAAAAAGTGTGTGTCTTATAGAGAGTCAAATGATGGCTGTAAAAAAAAGCAGGGTCTTGATGTCCGTTTTACTGAGGTGTGCGTCTTATAGACCTGGTCATTGAGAGATAATTGACTAAGTGTATTTGTTAAAGAGGCGCTGTACTGCTACTGCTAATGCTAATGCTCTGCTACTGCTACTATTACAACTACAGTGTACAGGAAATTATAGTACTACAATAACTACTTAATCCGAATTATTTTGAGAAAGGACCTCTGGAGCCAGTGTACTACTACTTAACAAGCTAAAGACAGCTAAAAAAACATGTGCTCAAAATTCAAAATACTCCAACAAGTTACAATGTTTGCTTTGCAAAATGGCCATTATAGTCCTACACTATGTTCTTACCTCAGCAATCAGTAAATCCATGTCATTCTTGAGGAATATCTGAATTTGCTCCTCAATTCGTTCTTGTATGCGGTTCCTTCCAGCTCCATGCATGTACAGGGTTGCTGTTTGGCAAATAGATCCAGCAGAGAACACCCCTCCCTCTCCGGCTACACTCTTGGCAAGGTCACATGCAGACTGATTGATTTCTTCATTCTGTTGATGCAAGTATTAAGAATGGAAATATAGATACTGCAAGGCTGTGCTCTAAGAAAACTGAAAGGAGTGCAGTGCTTTTAACCTGTGAAATCCAGGGTGGTGGGTGAAACAAGAGCCAAAAAAGGTGCTCTCGCAGACTAGGGTGCCCAGCATATGATTTCTGTGAAAAAAATAAGATTTTCTAGTCGCTTGGGAGCAAAAGTTAGGTGCCAGGAGCCACTGGTGGTTGCCAGAGCACAGCCTTGTCCTGGGATTAAACAAACCTCCTAAAACTCAGTAGTTAATGAAATTCAGAAAGAAAGGGAACCTGAATAGGAAAGCAAAACACACCACCTCACTCCCATTCCACAATACCTCCAAGGCAAGCAATAAAGAAAAAAAGAAAGGATCTTGCTTCTGTGAGCAGGAGAGAGGCTTAAATATATATATGCAATCCAAAATTGCCAAAATGTGTTTCCACATGTTTTGAATCTTTGGTCTAAATTCAGTCACATAGCACGTAATTAAGTCGCACCTTGCTTGGCCTGGTAGCGGCGTCACTGTCAGGGATGCCTTTTGAGAAACCTTTACTACATTCCCAGCTAAAATTACAGATATTATCCTGACTGGATCAGGTCGTGGACATCTTTTGATATTGGTCTTGAAATCACTTTGTTGTTGTTGTGCAACATTAATCTCGTGGCAATATCTTAATTCAGCATTTTTAACACAGACAATAATATTATTGTAGATCTGGCTCCAGTTGTTCC